TAGTTCTGATTCTTTTAATGATTCTGAACATCCTGATCATTACTCTCATGAACTAAAAACAAGAACGTTATTTTTATAATTATTGAGGAGATGACATGGAAATAATATTTAACTCTAAATAAGTATGTACTGGAAGCATATATCATGTATGAAGGGTCCTTCCGTAGGAAGGACCCTGTGGGGCATGATGTATCTTGGTGCAACCCACAGTGAGTCACTATAGCTGAGGTCAAGTTCCAAGGAGTTTTCTTCAACTGCTACCAAATGTGTCTTTGTCTGGGACTCGTATCAACACTGGCACAAAACTGCTTCATTATGCATCATACTCACTCAGTCAACCAATTTAATAACTTTTAAGTTCTGACATTCAAAGATTGTTCTCCCTCCCTCTGTCTCTCTTTTACACACACACACACACACACACACACACACAAAGGACTTCACATGGACTTCACAGAGCTCCTTCTGAACAAAAGGAGTGAGGTGAACTTAAGTATCAAGTTGAACTTTATAAGTAGGGTTACATTTACAACTTAACCAAGCTTAACCTCTCAGCAACAGGGAGCTGAAATAGGGCCACCATCATATTTGCAACTGACTAGCTGAATATAACTGGCAGTTCCAGGTGGTGACAGTTGAAGATATCCTCAGAGGGTTCAGTGGGGTATAAGTGAGCATCCTGCCATGAATCTTTGCTGCCCTTGCCACTATGATATGGCATGGGCTAATTTGAAATATTTGGAAGAGTTTTGCAAATACCCGGGACTGGCAGAAAGACAAAAGGGTCTTTGTAGGACATGTGGGTCCTAGATCAAATCAAGTCAGAACTTGCTGTGGAAGGAAAAAAGACAAAACTGAGGCTATTCTACTTTGGGCATAACATGAGAAGGCAGGACTCATTGGAGAAGTTAATAATGCTAGAGAAATCCAAGGCAGAAGAAGAGGAAGCCCAAATATAAGATGGTTTGATTCCATAAAAGAACCCTCAGCCTTGAGTTTACAAGAGCTGAGAAGGGCTATGAAACTTCGGAAAGCACACATTCATAGAGTCACCATAAGTCAGAGGAAACATGATGGCACATAACAATTTGTATTATTTGAAATCATTTAGGATGTCTACTGTTTTTATTTAGGATTTCAACTACTGTTGTGGGACCAAACTCAAAACTCTCTGTGATGTGTTAAATGTATGCTAGTTTGGTTTGGTTTTGGTTTTGATTTTCTCTCGCATGTTTTCTTGGTTTGCTTCAGCCCCACTATGGGGATTTGGTTTTGTCCCCTCTCCCCACACCCCATTCCACCCCCACACAGAAGCCTGTATAATTCCATGCTTTGCTACCAAGTTATATTTCCATGTGTTGTTCTGAATTAAAGAAATAACAAAGTCATCCTACCTGTGGCTAAACAGTGCTGACATGTAAGTGGAAACTATTGGGATATAGAAGCCCAAGTACAGTTATGGCACTCCACCCCATGGACCCACAGGCAAAGAGGCTCTCGGCCTGTTTAAACTATGTTAAAGCATTCCAGGGACTCATTAGGAGCAATCACCATAGCTCACTGATAGAGAAAATGCCTTGCATGAAGATGGCCTGGGTTCAAACCATTTTAAAAAGAATCAGGTGGCAACCAGTGGCAAAGATTGAGGCTTGAGACTTGGAGAGCCGCAGCCAATCCGAACAGGCAATGTTAGGCTTTATTTCCATCTGTGTTGCCATCAGTTCTGAACCTCTTGAGAAAATCTGCAGGTGTGCAGGATTTGGTAGCCCTGGGGTGGTGGTCAGAGGGCTGTAGTTAAGACCCCAGTGGGCTGCATGCAACTCCCAGGCCACCTTTTCTGTACTCCAGAGCTCGAAAGACAAGTAGCTTAATGTATAAGGCAGCATCCCATTTCAGTTAAAAATGTACCCATCTGCATAAAAGGCCTTCCACTAAGAAAGGGCTTCAAGAATGTATATTGCTATATCTACAGTTGAAGGATCACAAAGTCAAGAAACAGTTTAGCCTCATATAAAAGGAACAAAGTTCCCATTTTGTGCATGCTTAAAAGCATACAGCATGGACACCTACTTTACTTTATATGGGGTTTTAGTTCTTAAATGAGCCTCTACAAATCCGGGGTAAACAAAGCATGTAAAGAATGTGTATTTCCTCCTGCAGTGAAAACAGAAGAAGACTCAGTGAAGTGGTGGGTTAAAGCCTTCATGTAGCAAAATCCCCACTGAAATTATTTCCTACAAGAATCTTTCTCAACCTGGTGTTCTCCATACCTGTTGGACTACAATTCTTATTGATCCCAGCCACCATGGCCAAAGGGAATGCTGAATGGACAACACCAGGCTGGAAAAGCCTGTTTTGTGGTGATAGACAACTAGTGCGTTGTTACTGCCTTTTGTGCAGAAAAAATTCACCAGCAGTAAGCTTAAACATATAATGGTAGTAGTGATTCCACCAGTAGTCTTCAAACTGTATGAAAATGCTTTTAACAGTGGATGAATAACTCCCCGCCCTTGTTTTCTAACAACTCTTCTTCTGCAGAGAATGAGTATCATGTTCTAAAACAGTCCAACCCATCATTTTGCTACTGAAATTAATAACTACGGGTATAAGGAAAGGGTGGAGAAGGATCCTTACTTATGAACATCCTGTATAGTGTGAGCTGTTATGGAATTTAAATTATGCATTCATTAAATGATCCTATTCTTTTTGTATTAGAATGGAACTGGTTCTCAGCTTAGAAAAATATACATATTGAAGTGCAAGCAATGCCTCTCATATATAAATGGAGATCATTCTGCACATAGGCTTAATACACGGTACTTTAAAAGGTTTGTTGTTTAACCTGTTGAGTGTTTTAATAAGCTAGGTGATTTTTATTTGTTCGCTTCCTTTTTATATTAAAACAAAACATTTTGGATTCATTTCATATTTTGCATTCTAAGAATGGAAGGGTTCCTTTCATCTACAGGAGGTGTCCAGGTTCGCTGATGGATGTAGCTGGTGCTGCTGTGCACTGTCTGAAAGTCTGTTAACGAGGGCTCCACAACTTCTGCAGGAAGATGTTGTCTCCACATCTTTCACCAGTGAGAACAACCCCTGAGCTGAATGCTGCCTAGGCCATGCTCTTGATGGTGGAATAAAGGTCTAGACCTAAACCACTGTAAATTATTTTGGTTATTCTAACAAAAAAGTGATATGTGAGTATTTCAAGTAGGAAAGAATAGACCAACACACACCTCTTTAATAAAGTAAATGTGACTAAATGAATGCCACCCACCACAAATAAGTTATTACCACAAAGCAGGAAATCGAGGGGCATTATGGGTTCCCTACACATCTGATGAGGAACAGGAATCTACTGAGAAAGTTAATGCTATGAACCCACTTCTTATGCTTGCCCTGTTTGTACATGTATAAACAAAGCTTTTAAAACAGAAATGCTATAAGCTTCCAGTGACCTCCTTCAAAGGAAACTGAATCCAGGTAAGATTTTTAGATTAAATACTTATCAGGGCCACTCAGAAGTTTAAAACAATATAAGCATAAGAATAAATAAAAGCAATGACTAGTAAAACAAGCATTCGCTCCTCCACCACCCCAAAATGCAGAAAGCCTTTGGCTATTGGGAGGTATAGTAATGAAATAAAACCTTTGGAGTAAAACCACTGGCAAGCCCAGAAAAATACAACTCTAATAAAAAGTCATGAGAAAGACTTTTCTGAAGGCTTGTAATAATTGGTCTTGATGGATTTCAGCTGATAATGTGAACCACATGAACCAATCACAATGTAACCTCCACTAAGTCCCAAGTGGCAGCATTCTGTGCCAGCTAAAGTTGCTGAACTGCCGTTAAATGCTTGTCCCCACATAGCAGCCTTTGAAGTTATCTAGGATGGACATCAGCCATACAAGAATAACAGGGACAAGATCAGATCTGTCCAGGTAAGGTCACAGCTGGCACAATAGTCTGAGTTAGATCAGCATGAGCACCTGAGCTTGCCCAGTTACTGATATACTTGGCCCTTCAAAGAGAATGCAACTTCATCTAAGAGGAGTTTATTTCCTACCACCAGCAACTCTATTGAATCTGGATTAAGGCTCAGATGGTTTGCCCTCATCCATCACCAAACTCTCTCCAAGCAATGATTCATAGAAACATAGAAACAGAGCGAGTCAGAAGGGGTCTCCTGGGCCATCTAGTCTGACCCTCAATACGGTGTTCTACAGTAGATCACTAGAAGGCAAAGAGAAAGAGCCAATCTCCACCATAAAGATACCACACTCCAAAACTCTGGATGACATCCCCCAGCAGTTTCTTATAGATCTTGAGAAGTAGCATCTTACTACCATCACCATTACCATCCCAAGGTAAAAAAGCCCGTCTTCTTAATTACTTTCCAATGTTAAAAGAGGGATGGGGTTCAGATAGTCACCCAGGCCTTGTTTCCTACTGCCAGGGAGGGACACTTGATCTTAAGTTAGGACTCTCTGTGGACTGGGTCCTAGTCTAGGAAACTACCGTGGACCATATCTCTCAGAACTCCTCAAATGCAGAAGCAAACAACAGCAGACCTGCAACTAGAAGGCACTATAAAATCTCTGAACTGTCCAAAGCAAAATTAATTCTAGGAGCCTATCCTTCTTCCTTTTTGGATCAACAGAGCAGGACCTTAAAATCCTTCAAGCAGAAAGTCCATCTTCCCCAATTCAAACCTACTGACCTCGGGGGTCCTGAGGTAGAGAACACAGTTCTAAATTGAAATACAGCTAGCCATGGTTCTAGCCTGGTCATGAGGCTGCCTTATCTCGCTACAACTATCTTAGAGAAGTTACATTCTTCTCTAAATGGGTTCCCCCCAACTTTGCATACTCCCCATAGGTTGTCAGGCCAGCTAGAAATAGTCTGTGCCAGTATCCTATAAAAAGCGATTTACAGGAAATGCTGCACCCCACAGTTTTACTTAATGAAAACACAAATGCTCAAAATTATGGAAAACATATTATTTATAAAGAGTTATTTTATTTATTATATATAAAAGTACTATTTTACATTTCTCTTCAAAAGTTAAAGCAAAACTTTGTGAAAAATAAAGTATCATTTTCTGTGAATTTCAAAAGGATGAACAAGATTTCTGTCCCAATGGTTCAAACTCAAAACAATTACTTAAGATAGTAAGTCCTCCATATGCAACAGTGTTAGCTAGATCACCTGGTGTTATCAGTGTAGTAATTAATTACATCATTCAAGATGAAATAATTGCATTTCATTTCTAGCAGCAGCAGCAACTTACATTCATAAACTGGATTTCATGTTTATTAGTGATACGAGAGTTTGTCAGTATTATAATATTAAAAATTTGCAGATTTTTGCTGAACACTGTTACTATGGGGTAGAGAAAGTAAGCTCTGTATAGAGATTTTCCCCAGTGATTTTTTAAGAAACTAGGCCCCCATGAGACCAAAAAGAAAAAATCTTCATTCGTCTTTCACCTGCTGAAAAAATTCATCTTCTCAGGGAAGAACAAATAAAAAGGTTTGTTATCCAGCCTCTACATTTTAGCAAGTACAAAACTGGCAAATCAAGTTCAGGACAAAGCCTAGAATTTTAAAATTGAGGTGCTAAAAGAGCCTCCCCTTTAATAAAATTGTAAATGCCTTAGTTTCACATTAAGTGAACAAGATAATTTGTGACTTCACTAGAATCCAAAGCACATGCTGTCAAAGTCGGAAAAAAAAATTGCCCAGATATTTTTCTTGCTCAGAATGAATAACATCGAGAATGTCAGCAAATTTAACTGTGCCTATGTTTTGAGGCTCAGTGAACAAAGCCTCATAATTTTCATTATGATTCAATTATCAAATCACGTCTGGAAAACTCAACAAAATCTGATGGTTGTCAAGAGAAAAAGAAAACACTTGCTGGCTAGTTTTGTTTCTATGGGTGCTTTCAGGCAAGGCTTTTATGACAGCATCACCCTGCTTCATTCACAGGATTTTGCAGAAGCTGGTTACTGAAGTCAATGGCATCTTCAGTTTGTCCATCTCCCACATATTTCCACTAATTTTTCTGTCCTGTCTTTTACTGCAGAGAATCCATTAAGAAAGAAAGCATGGAATGTCTATACAAGGCCTTCTCACTGGTGATGCTAGGAGTCTTGCATCTGTATGCACCCTGGAAGAGATTCAGTTCAAGAGTGTAGCTGAAAAGTATACCATAAAAGTGCACGATCACTCAATATTTGGTATGTCCCTGAATTCTCAACTTGGAGAGAGAATATTTATCCTGGTGGATATGCTGAGACTTAAATACTAGACCCTTTAATACTGGAAGACTGATGCCATGTCTGTTCACTATGTCTTTTGCTTACTTCAGAGAAACAACATCAGAAAAATGAAAAAGCCAGTTTTCTCTGAATATGGATGCACGTTTTATGTGTAATCTATAGAGAATTTAATAGTGCAATATCCATGCATGTAAAAAGAACACTTTGCAGGGTCTTTTAGTCCTACTTGAACATCACATAAAGCTCTGCAATCCATTCACAACCCATTTTTCAAGGAATTTTTGACATTCTACTTTTTTGCTTTCGCCTGCTTAAAGCCACACGTATTGCTTCCAAAATGCTGTCCTTGTTATTCAGTACATTATAGCAATTCAATTCTACCAGTTTGTTGAATTCATGGGGCTCATAGGTGAAGTTTAGTGTCCGATACGGTGAGTCTTTTCCCCCAATTTCAAAATCACCAAAGGATTTATCTTCTTCCAATTCACGTTCTATTCCTACAGACAAAGGAGGCACATTGTGTGAGGTCTGCCAGCCAATGCAAAATTACATTTACTTCATCTTTACCACGGAGCTGCCACTTAAAGCAAAATTTCCACAGTAACAATGTGTTTGCCTCTACCACTTTGGAGGTACAATTCATTTATAAAACTTCACTGTAAAAATGGTTTTCAGAATGAAGTTGAATGCTCCTCCCAGACTGTGTACTGGATTATGGAAAAAAAACATGTGTTCAAACATGTGAAGGTTTTTTTGTTTTAATTGGTTGGGGCAAAAGTGAGGAAACATTTTTATTGGAAACTTCAGATAAAAATTAAGACCTGGGTACTTTATAATATGTAAATACTGATGTCTTAAGATTAGCCTTCTGGTCTACCCTCCAGCTCCTATCATCCCCAACCAGCACAGTTAATAATCAGGGATGGTGGCGCGACAGTCAACAACGTGAGGCAGAGCTGGCCCTCACACGAAGGAAGGTAAAGCCCCCACCTCAGGCAGCGGAGCGAGAGGAGCCCTGAACTGCAGCACTCTCTCCCCATCCTCACCAGGGGGCCACTGCACCTCCTCCAGCAGGTGTCCCAGAGAGCACTGCCAGCTGCCTTCCACGGCGGCATTTGCCACAGTGAGTGAGCAGCCAACAGGGGCCTCCAGAACTGCCACCTTCGGGAGAACCATGTCTGGCTGAGCTGCATCAGGACTAACTCAAGGTTGGGAAAGTTTCCTTTAGAACTAAGTAATTATACAGTAAATTACTGAAATATTAATTCTCCAGATCTCCAGAACTGCATGACAGAACTGGTTGGTAGGGTACAGCATTATTCATATAAGGGTTAGTAATTTTCTATTCAAATTTATAAGTTTCACTACTTAAAATAGCCTGCTTTGAGGACACAGAGTTCATCCTGTCACTTAAATAGAAACTTTGGCTGTGCTCTACAATAGCTTCACGACCACACCAAAATCTAAGTTCAAAGTGATCAGTAAATCAATATTCTGCCTGGCAATCACAAAAAATTACATGAAAATGAAGGATATTTAAATACCCGGTGCTTTGAATTTGTGGAATGTGTCATTAACCAAAGGAAAATGAAGGATAATGGGAGACTTTGGGTTCTCAGCATCCATAAACACATAACATTCCTTGGGATTTTCTTCATCTTCTTTGTTCAAGACAATTTCTGGAAATGGAATATCCCGCTCTTCACAGTACTTTTGAGTCAAATGCAGGACCTGTAGCCAGAGAGGGAGAAAAGAAAATTATGCACCAATAATGACGATCTTTCCCCTTTATTTGAAAGTAGCACCTCACCTCCCCCAGTCATGCCCCCTTTTATTAAAATTATTTCATAGATAATGTGGAGACCTACTTGTACTCATTATTTGTCTTTAACCTCAGCAGCCCAGTTTGTGCAAATTAGGCAGGGTGGGCTGATGCAGAGGGGTCCCTGGGTACCTGCTGGCCAAATCCAGTAGGCAGCCCACCTTATACATGTCAAACTCAAACTGCAAGTATTTCCTACTTTGTAAGCTTCTGAAAGGCCGAACATATCCTGACCTGTGAAAGGCTAGCAAATCCCCAGATAATCATGATTTGAGAAAAGGGACTCATTTCTCCTTTTCTACAGGTAGTACGTGAACTTTCCCAGTAAATGGTGCAGTAAATAGTCCCAGTTTTTTGGAGGCATGCCAAGGCCTTCTTGCCTTCATTTTGTTAGGAAGAATACCACCAGAGATGATTGCCTCAAAACTGCCTTCTGCAATTATTCTGTAAATAACAGGGATAATTTGCTAAGGGAACCAAGCTGCTGCCTCAATGAAGCAGTTTGGCTCCACGGAAGTGGAGTGAGTACAGTCTGTATGCGACACGACAGACTCTGCACTAGTGGGAAAGAGGAACTTTAAATCCATGGAAAAAGGCTCTGACTTCTGTTCTTGGCCCACAGAGCACTGCTTTGCTGCTCACCCAGGCAAAATCAGAAAACTAAAGAGAACCCCCTAGCCTATTTAAAGAACCAATACAGCCAAAGAAAGGGAAGTGCAAGTAAGCTTTCATTTGCTTATATTCTGCTTCCATATGTCATCTCTGCATTCAATAAACTGCACATCATCTTTGACCTGGGTGGGTTTGTTTCATCCTAAGTATCTTCACATCTGAAGTGAGATGCCTTGGCTGGACCAGGCTGCTGGAGTTAACCCCCATTAACTTTATAATAGGTCTGGAGGTGATGGAAATGAACACGGCTGGAACTAGATACACAGTCATCTGTTCCTTAAATAAAACATACATTAGGAAGTCTTGCACTCTACTATCACCAGTTCAAAATGAGCCTCACCAACATCATAAAAGGAAAGTTGCACACTACCTGGGGCTTCAGTATTTTTCTCCACTATCTCACATAATATACATAATATTAATAACAACCCTAACCCTAACAAGGTAGGGGTGGCTCAGACTGCAACTCATTCAAGGTATTCCAGTGAACTCAGAGATTCAGGATGCAAATCCAGCTCTTTCCAGCCAAAGTCCAAAATGCCCATTTCCAGCTCTCCATTCTATGACTGTCTGCTTACTCTAATGTACTGGGCATTAAGTATATAGCTATGGGTCAACAGAGCAGCACAAGCAATATTTTTGGACTCTCCATGTCCATAGCCAGGGGGCTACCATGAAGAGCAGCTGCACTACACCACTGAAAGTAATTACATTACATAAAACTAACATTTGGGAAGATTTTTTTATTTTGTGTTTGCCCAGGATTTTCTACTATTCAAGATAGATGGGTATGGGAAGTATCAGGAACTGGATGGCAGATCTGCTTCTTCTAAATATCTCACCTCAAATGGTGCTTCCCAAGAGTAATTAAATGATAGGATGATGTCAACATCTCTTTCTGGCTGGAGCACCAAGGGAAAGGGAGAATTGATAGAAAAGCCACCATCCACTAAGTACAGATTCTCTTCCATTGGAGTCAACATATTTGGAAAAGCATCCAGATGAGTGCCTGAACAAAAGCAATATAGTAAAACACCACATACATTTCTTTTAACTTTGTTAAAATAGAAGATCAGTAAAGAACTTCAGTGGAAATTAACATATTTAAAATTTATTCTCCTCTACTGAGAAAAGGAAACCATGCCCGGATCCAGTCTCTGACCATATTTCATTAGACTTCTTCCACTAAGTAAACAGATGCTTTCTGTACATACATGAGTTGCATGTACTGATTTAAAAACCTTTGGGATGATCAGTTTTTTCTACCACCAAAAAAATTACCTTTTGAGACAACAAACTTATTGAGGCTGACATAATCTCTGTGGAGATACAAGCCATGCATGAAATTGAAAGTTTCTCCAGCAGTGACACGAGACTTGAAGAAATCCTGGAAAATTTGTATCATAAGTCCACCTGGTATAACAAGGCGAGTATTCAACCTCATGGGATCCCGAAAATGAAATCGTCGACAGTCATCTGCAAACATGAACCATACAGAAGTATGATTATAGTAAAAATGTAATTATCCAATCTAACCTGTGAGGCATCTTTAGTGTTAGGAAAACCGGAAATTTCAGTTAGCATCTAGATACACTGTGCCCCTTCTAAGGATGTGTACAAGATGCAGGTTTTTATACTGTAAAGGTAAAGGTTTCTCCTTGATATTAAAGTCCAGTCATGCCTGACTCTAGGGGCGGTGCTTATCTCCGTTACCTAGCCGAGGGAGCCGGCGTTTGTCCCCAGACAGTCTCCGTGGTCATGTGGCCGGCATGACTAAACACCGAAGTGCACAGAACGCTGTTACCTTTCCACCGAAGGGGTACCTTTTTATCTACTTGCATTTGCATGCTTTCGAACTGCAAGGATGGCAGGAGCTGGGACTGAGCAACAAGAGCTCACCCCATTTTGGGGATTCCAACTGTCGACCTTTCAATCAACCAGCCCAGCAGCACAGTGGTTTAAACCACTGCACCATCTGCATCCCTTTACTTTACAATATATTTGCTGCTAGAAGAACAGTAAAACAATTAAGAAAGTCACAATGTGAACACATCACCCAAGCTTGCACCATGTTGGCTCCACTTCCCATGGGTAAAAAATGCTGTTTCAAATATGTTGCCATGTAATCTGTTATAGAATATTTGATTTTTACCCTACCATTCTATCAAAAAAGCATCATTCAAGGTGGATGGTAACCCTATCCCATATTCATCATTAAACAATAAGCATCCATTATTTTTGCCAATGCTGATGGGATCAGTACAAAAAGCCATACGTATACTATGACAATGTGCCATCAAGTTTTTATCAGGGGTGCAGGTCAGCATCCTTCAGGTGCAGCACACCCATTTGTGGAGGGACTTCCATAGGGTTTAACATTCTTCCAACTTCTTTTTTGAATAATATGCCAGGGCTACTGTACACCACATCCATGTTTCTGTCAAGCCCTCATCTTTTGGTCAGTCAAGGAAAGCAAGTCAGAACTCACATTCTTTGACAAAATGAAGATGGTGGCACCAGACAAGGATATGGAAGGTTTACCTGTAACAGCATACCTGCAGGCAGCTCTTCTGTGATTGGCTATTGCATAGTATTGCAACATCTCACTGTTATGTCAATAGCAAGGTTCACACACCAGAAAAACCAAAGTCATCATTGTGCAAAGGATGTTTAAGCAGCTTCAGTACTTACCAACCACTTTGACAACATCACTCAGAGATTCGAGAAAGCTGAGTCCTGAACCAACCACCTTCAAAAAGACATCATCCAGGCTGGCAGCAAAAGCACTGCCCCACATCCCTGTAACATGAACAGAAAAAAAAAAAATCCAAATTAGATGGTTTTCCAAACTTACCATGCCAAACAAAAGCAAACACAGAAGAAAGCAATAATTTGATCTTCTTCCACCTGAAGAAGTTGTAAGTGACAATTTACAATGAATACATGTGACAATGGAACAAATATTTCATATTTCCATCCTTCCGCTTCAGGAGTTTCAATGCAACAACATTTTCAAATTATTTCAAAATAGCATGATGTAATGGATACAAAGGCTGCAAAAAGGTACTTTTTTCATTTAAAACTATGGGTTGTGAAATAATTCCAAATTCCGTGAAGCTGCCTCAGGTGTATCTAGCACTGGATCATCATTGAATATAATATTTTATGCCTATTAAGGAGAGCTTTGCAAATACCCTGGAATGAAAAACAAATGAACCAGTGCGTCTTAGATCAAATCCAGCCAAACCTCCCTGGAAGCAGAAAAGGAAAACACTGAAGCTGTCATACTTTAGGGACATCATGAGATGGCAAGACTCCCTGGAGAAGATAATCATGCTAAGGGAAGTCAAAGGCAAAAAAAGAGGAGGATTATCAGATGGAGTGACAGGGCTATCAAGGACAGGACATTTTGGAGAGCACTGACTCATAGGGTTGCCCGAAGTCAGAGACGGGACAGCATGTAACAAACGCTTGTACATATTCACTTGTACAAACACTTGTAATCCAGGGGTGTCCAAAGAAACAAGAGTTGGGGTGGCATTTGAAACAGCTTGTCCCAAAAGCAATTCAAATGCATTGTCACATTCAGAATGGCTTAAGGAAATGTGTTGTAACCTCTATTTCCCTTAGGGAATAAATTTAAAAGTGAGGAAAGTTAGACAGAATGGAAATTGACCAAGGACAGGGTGTCAAGTGCTTCTAGGACTGTGCCTCAGGTGTAGCACAACTTAAAATTAAAGAAGGGTGCCCTTCCACCCACCAAAAAGGCCTATCAATCTGCCAGTCCACAACATATTAACTCTGATTATTCAGGGCACCCAAAATCACAAACAGAGAGCAAGTGTGCTGGAGATACTCTGTTCTTAAAGGTATGGCCTGTTACAACTTCCTTAAAAGTTAAATTACAACAGAAAGCAAATACATTCCCACCTACATTATGGTCAACCTGACCTGACCTTCAAGGAAGTTTCTTGGCTCAAAGTAACAGATCTTATCAACATTCATATAACAAAACTTCCTGTGTTCCACAACTAAGGTATCAGAAGGAAAGACACACTATGATTCAATAATTTATCCAGCTCTGCCTTACATATAGTAAATTCAAAAATTCAAACCCTGCAGGTAGCAGATCCTGGGCTCAGGATATTTCTTAATCAGTCTTCCCATGAAGAACTCACTATCGAAGTCTTCTGTTCGGACAAAAGCGCCATACTTGCGGAATCCGACCTCATAGGGAGTAAATTCACACCATTCTAAGAAAGAAAACATCACCACAAGAAAGCTTTTTGGGAAATGAGTTTGCTGTGTTGCCTTCAAGTGAAAAGACTGACTTAGATGCTGCTTGTGTGTTCAACCAGAGTAAAAAATGAAGTGTTAAATTAAGTGGTATAAAATCTAGAGTAAAAAAATATGGGCAGTCTTCAAACTGTTTGGAAAGCATGGCCTGACACATTTCATCCAATTCTATACTGATAGGTACCAATTATTCATCCCTCTCCAGTATTTATACTTTCTCTTCATCCACGAGTCCCTAACCTCATGCTTTCATTTCTCTTTTGTTCTTTATGTTAATAGGTGAGGACAGTGTTGTCTGTACATTGGCTTGTAAATTCATCATGCTTATCACATGCTAAAATACTAATACTGCTTACAGATTTTATAAGACAGATATAGAACTAAGAGCCAGTGTGATGTAGTAGTTAACAGTGTCAGACCAGAACTCAAGAGATTTGAGCCATAAAGCCCATTGGGTGACTTTGGACCAGTCTCTCAGCCTTTCTTACAGGGTTGTTGTAAGGATAAAATGAAGAGCAGGATAAATTTGTAAGACTTGGGTTCACTGCAAGAGGAAGAAAGGCAAGATATAAATGGAATGTAACAATTATTATACCTGCAAAGTCATCACCACTAACATTGGGTCTCACATTGACAGCTGCATAGATGGGGTATGGATTCTTCCCCTCTTTCACGACTTCCTGCTGGTCAGACAGTTTTGACTGATCCTCCTGAATAGAGCAGAGAAGGCACAGGGTCCATACGTATGCATGCATGCATACAGATATTACACAACTGCAACACCCAGTATTCATATACAGCACTATTATTACCCACTGTCTAGGATATGGCTCATTATGTTTTCACTAGATTTTCCTAATGGCTGCATAACTGCAGTTTGTCTGCATATATAATAATTAAATGAATGAACAGAAGCTGTTGTCTTCAGGTACATCATGAGAAAGCAAGCCTCGCTGGAGGAGACAATAATGCTAAGGAAAGCAAAAGGCAGGAAAAAAGAGGAAGAAAATATGATATGGATCAATTCCATAATGGTAGCCACAGCCTTCAGTATACAAGAAATGGACAGGGTTGTGGAGGACATTTTGGACAGTGTTCAAGGGTCACCATAAGTCAGAGACTGATGTTGTCTGCAAAAGATCCCCTGCCAGGGTCAACTTCAATTACTGCTGGTAGATGCCCTTCAAAAGTTTCTCCACCCCCATCACCATTAGAGATATTCATTCTCTTCTGCTGATGGGATCATTACTCTTGAAGAAGGGTGGAAGCATCTTAGTCTGGTCTCTCAGCTTTCACCATTCCACCTTGGGTGACTACTAGGAGACCAGCCAAGTAAGAGACTGGCCTCTTGATGGCATTGCTCTAGGCTTCCCTGACATACTCAACTCATTACCATGTTAAGAAATTGCATCCAAAAGGAATATTTATAAAGATACAAGCAGAATATAACAAAGGCAAAGCAACAGTCCCTGGTGAAGATTAACTGTAGACAGCTTCATGTTATCTTCACTGAATGAGAAGGTTTTTTTCCCTTGTGTTAGCATATTTCTATTTCTTTGTTAGGCTTTATTCTCCTTCCAATTTAGTTCTAAAATGTTGAAATAGATTATTTTAATTGCAGGGTTTTCTTCAATCTTTTATGGTTTGACTGATATTTTTAATCAATAAATTTATTTACTGATACAACAGCTACTTCTAACTGTTCTTATACAGAGAAATTGTGAACTGTTTTGTACATGGTACTGTGGAAAAGCAATATGAATACAGTTGATAATGATCATGCCAGCCACATCTCTGCAAACTATACATTCACATATACAATGCAGAGAAATGTATGTTCCAATACTGTAAACATATATCAACAGATTGAGCTAATAAAAGCAGGTGGGGGCATCTCAGCTCTCTTCTATCCTGTTATCTTTTCATTACTGCATATATGGGGCTGTACCTATTTGGACCATTTGCTCCACAAATATATCCATATTTATTCCACACTTTCTTACGGTGTGAGGGCATTCAATTAATTCACATGTCTCTAACATAAACCAAGCTGAAGCCTAGACAAGAAACTGCATCTGCTAATACAGTAAAAAGCAATCTTTCCTAGAATTTCTTACCTTCTGCTGCAGGAAGTACTCAACAATAAGTCCCCATAGGTCTGTGAATGACACTTTCCGTCCATCATTCTCCATCGTATTCAGCTCCTGGAAGTAATACTTCAGTCTCTCTGATGAAAAAGCGCCTACTTTGCTGCTGGACACCTTTTCCTGGGCATTACTAATTGGGCCTCCAAGATCTTTACATGACCATTCCGGGTCTTGGTACAACATTGACAAACACCTGGAAATAGTTCCATTGCAAACATAACAGATGAAACTTCTACATCAGATTCAAGCTATGAATACTATCCAGTAAAATAGCATTTAAATTGTAACCACAGATCCTACAGAGATACGTATATAGACCTTTCATGTGGGGCTGTCTGAAGGATATATCCAATATTTATAAGCAGAGAGATGAATAGCCCTAAGATGTATGTATGAAGTAAAACAACTATAGAGAAATATCTCAATCTTTGTTATAATATATCTGCATTTGCTGTATATGCTCCACTTACTTTTGTGCCTCTGGAAAACAACTTTTAACCCAAAATGCTGAACTAGACTTGTTATCATCACCCGTTATGTTGATGCTTTTTACTTAAATCACACAGGCTTGTTTTAGACTTGATTCAGGGCATTAGTGGAAAACTGCACACTTTGCAGAAAATCCGATTAACTGTTTGATGAAAATTTGTTCTCATAGTCTCCTTTTACTCTCTTAGGAGTAAAAAACTGTCTTCATAGGATACTAGAATAAGATACAATATTAGCAAAATTTCCAAAAAGCAAAAGTTCTATCCCAAGAGATTTTATTTCTGTCTCAAGGAAATAAGAATGATAATTATTACATACCATGTGGACCCTGAGATTCCAGAAATATATGTGACACTGTCCAGAAGTTTTAGCTTCTGAAGTCCAAACAGGCTGCCATAAAATGATGTCAGTGCTCTGATGCCTCCACCAGATCCCAACACCGCTACAACAGGAACCTTAAAAAAAAGGAGGGAGGAACAAAATTCAGAGCATGATATATGTTACAGGCAGTTACACATTCCCATTACTATACTAACATTTTATGGCTATTCTGGATAATTTATATTAAAGGAATATTGTGAGGAAAGAGACATCAAGTAAATTAAGTGAGGCATAACATATAAATGTTATGCAATATCGGAATCCCTCATTATTTTAGTTCTATTAAGTTGTACCTCATCTGTACTGGGGTCCTCGCTCAAGTTGAGTGTCCTCTTTAGTGCTTGAGAGACTATTTCCTTCCTCTTGTCCAAAAATCTTCGCTCTTCTTTACATAGATCAAAGCCAAGACGTACATCAAGATCCCCTGTACTGGTTTAAGTACCATATGAAAGAGAGAAAAATAAGGCACATGTACACCTTACATCAAAGCTTTACCACCCAGATTCCTGCAAGCCTTTAACATTCCTTTCCATGAATGCCAGACCACTGCCAGCTTTTCCCCACACACCCCATTCTCTGTGTTTGAGAGCCTTCTCTCCATCCCCCAGAGATCACATGTGTTTGTATATGTGCTGCTTATCTGTCTCCATATGTACCAACCCAATCACTGGTCATCATCTGAAGCCCTGCTCTGGCATTCCTCCCTGTATGGAAGTAAAAGGGGAGACAGCAAGGAGAAGAATAGCACCGAAGTTGTGGAATCTGAGATCCAACTGGCGTCATCTCTTTATTCTTTCAGATACCAGTTAAAAACATTTTTGCTACCATTTTGTCTGGTTTAACAGTTTTAATGTTTTTATGTTGCTATTTTGCTGCTGCTGTATTATGATTTTAGCACCAGATTTTTATCTAATTATGTACAAATTTACCTTACTTTTTATTAAGATTATTTTAAATAGTTTAACATAGTGATTGTTTAATTTTATGTCTATTTTTATTGATTGATTTTATTTTTATGGTTGGCTTTTATATCATGAGTTGACTAAATGTATTATGAATTGTATTTTTAATTGTTGTATAATATGCTGTGAGCCCACAGCATATTATACGACAATGCTGACTCTGGTCTGCCAGTGGTCTGACAACTTCCCTCCTTCCTATGTCAAGAAAAACCATATCATAGAAACATAGAATAGTAGAATTGGAAGGAACCATGAAGGACACCAAGTCACACAATCCCATCAGATAGCTGTCCGGTTTCTTTCTGAATGTCTCCAGTGTGGGAGAGCCTACCACCTCTCTAGGCAGCTGGTTCCACTGTCGTATTGCTCTGGCCATGAGGAAGCTTTTCCTGATGTCCAGCCTGAATCGGGGTTGGCACAACTTGAATTGATTGTATCTAGTTCTATGAGAGCCAAGGGACATTTTACCCCCGCCCCAAACAGGCCCCACTCTTGCCACTGCCAACAACCCAAATGCCCCTGGATAAGCATGATTTACTCACATTTGTTCAGCCTTCACATGTAAATCCACACTTAGGCCCTAAGAGAAAAGATAACATACACTGGAAAATGTTGACATGAAAACATCCAGATTTTCTAATTAATTAATCCATACTTGCCTCATTAAGTGAGGACCAAATCTTTTTGGGGGGGCCTTAAGTCCTCTCCTATGCCTGTCAGGAATTAAAGATCTTGCTTCAGCCCAGTTTTGTTATACATTATCCCCAAACGAATGGGAACATGAATGATACATCCACAGGCAATTTTAGTTGCCTAAATGCAGAAAACATGAAAAGGCCAACCAGCAAGTTAGCCTTGCTAATTCCTGTGTCTGTGCGTGCATGTGTGTGTGTGTACGCCTGCACAACACTGGTTGCAGGAGACTTGAAAGAACATATAACAGCTGTATTACTCAAGCCAGGTCTGCAAAATGTGCATCATCCCAAGACAAACACACCCCAGCAGAGAGGTTTTAGCTTTTCAAGTCATTGACATTTCCCATAGTTTGACAATGTGCAATTATCATGCAATGGCCAAGCTGCACAGGCTACTTAAGAAAAATGTCCGCAAGGAGCTTCTGATCTGCCCCTGCCCCTGGCCAACCCAGTAGAAGCTCAGACTGCACTTTACTCTCCAAAATTCTGTATATGTATCAGAATTTGTAAACAAAAAGTTAGCAACCCTAGCTACACCAAGACATTCAGTGCTCTTAACTTGGCTCTTGTCTGTTCCACATTTTAGGAACATCTATATGCATAACAAATATCTTTACACAGAACAGCGAAGAACCTTCCACAGAACCAAGAAAGAGTGTTATAATAAAGTAAAACTCAGTGTTACCTTTCCTAGTGGAACAGTCATGTCAACCTCCTTTCCCAGAGGAAGTGACTGAAATGGAACAGTCCCTGATCCAAGAATTGTGCTATGCTTCTCAAAGTCAGGACTCAATCCATCCTGAGAATAAGCAGAGTATATTTCATAAGGAAGGTAAGTTCATAAGCATTCCAGAATGGTGTGCATGGAAATTGCTCACCTGAAGGACTGTAATAGTTCGTTCTAATTCCACATCCAATTCTGTACACATCTCTTTGCCTACATGAAAGACAAATGGGCTCGCACAATTCTGATCAGAGTCTGGTTGGCAAGGGATGCACAACTGTTTCTCATAAGCTCCTGGAAGTGAAAGCTTGAACTGACTCCTTCCTAAAGATCACATTGAGAGATTTAGGGTATATATTGTCAAGAGAAAAACAGTACAGTACATAAATGGAGACTGTCATCATCCTCAATACAATAAAACACATTATAAAATTTGAATGAACAAACAGGTTAAACATCTAAAATGATTTCACTAAAAACTGAATCTATTAAAACAGCAGACATATCCCATCATATACTATTAAATGCCTGTGTTTTAGTTTTAACCTGACACTAAAAAGATGTCAACACTGGCACCAGCTGGGACTCAGTGGGGAGATCATTCCGGAATTGGAGGGCCACTGCTGAGAAGGCCCTCTTCCTTGTTACCTCTTTCCAGGGCTTTTGCAGGTACCAGGGAAAGGAAAGCCTCAAGACACAGATCACAACATCCAGGTAACTACTATTAGAAATGGCATAGCAATGTCAGCCAGTGTGCAGCCACTGCAAAAAAGGCAAATTCCATGCTAGGCATAATTAGGAATGGAATATACTATAGAACTACCAAGATCATACTCCCCTTATACAAATCCTTGGTACAACCATACTTAGGATATTGTGTCCAGTTCTGGTTGTCTCACCTGAATAAGGACATTATTGAACTGGAAAAAGTACAGAGAAGAGCAACAAAAATTATCAAGGGGCTGGAGTATCTTCCCTACAAGGAACAGCTGCAACGACTGGAATTGTTCAGTAAAAGGGGAGTAAGGGGAGACATGACATTGGTGTTCAAAATTATGCATGGAGAAAATGGAGAGGGAGACATTTTCCTACCTCTCCCAAAACACTCAAACCCAGGGTCATCCCATGAAGCTGACTGGGGAAAGGTTTAGGACAGGCAAGAGGAAGTACTTTTTCACACAACATATAATTGAACTATGGAATTTGCTGCCAGTCGAAGTAGTGATGGCCAGCAATCTGTACGGCTTTAAGAGGGGATTGGACAGATTCATGGAAGAAGAGGCTATCAGTGACTACTGGGCCTACAGGTTATGTGCTACCTCCTTAACTGAAGGTGCCATGCCTACACCACCAGTTGCTAAGGAGCTTGGGCAGGCAGAGGTCTAGCACCCATCCTACTTGGGGAATCCTGTGGGAAGCTCGTTTGACTCTGTGTGTAGAAGGACCTTTGCTGTGAACCAGCATGGCTTTCTAATATTCTTATGTTCTTAAGCAAAATGTCAATAGCAGCATGCCATGTTATTATTTCATGGATAAGAACTGAACCACAGTTTCATGGATATTAATGGATAAAAATGTTCATTTTGGTTAAAGTAACTGAAAGTAAGAATTCTGAGAAGACTGAAGGTTAGTTCCTCCTCCACACATTTTTCCCTACTTTTTGTAGCCAAAACAGCTTAGAGCATACCTACTATCAGTGATTTCTATTTATTCCAAACAGAATTACACACACACATAACACAGCACAAGACTGAAGGCTACATAGTTGGAATTCAAAGCCCCACCCATCCACCCCTATCACCTTAATTTGATAAAAGCTCCATGGTCAATATATGACTGTGATTTCGTTGCTCATTATTCCACTGCAACGTTTGAGAACTACCTGCCTTTTATTCAAAGTTAATTTCTATTAATTCATGATTTTCACCAATCAAAGCACAGTCAGTTGTATGTACTTGGAAGTCATGGTGTGACTGAGCAACAGAATAAATTAGACCTACCTTGTTCACTCAGCTTTGACTTTTCATCTTTGTTGATTAGTCCTTGCAGGTGAAGGCAAGGATAAGCCTACGTGATTTAAAAAAAAACCATACACACATTAAAAATGCTTGTTTTGAAATAATAAGGTTGAATACACACACACACTAATATACTGAATATATAGCTGAGTGGTTACAGTTACAAGGTAATAAACACATTACCTTGGAATAAAGGTGGTAATAATAATAATAATAATAATAATAATAATAATAATAATAATAATAATAATAAGCAAGTCATGAGTGGAGCCAACGATCAGACAGAGGGGCCCTTCTGACTGGCGTGCGCTCGCTCTCTCTCTCTCTCTCTCTCTCTCTCTCTGTTTCTATGTAACATTAGGTACAAATTAATAATAAATCATCTGGAATTAGGAATAAACAGCAACGTGGCAAAGTTTTCTGATGACACTAAATTATTTAGGTCAGTTAAAGCCAAAAGGGATAAGGAGCTCCATAGGGATCTCTCCAAGCTGGGAGAACAGGCATCAAAATGGCAAATGCAGTTCAATGTAAGGTAGTGTAGAGTAATGCACATTGAGGCAAAAAAATCCTAACCTCAAATATAGGCTGCCACAGGAAGTGGTGATGACCACCAACCTGGATGCCTCTAAAAGGGGACTGGATGAGTTTATTTATTTTATTTATTTAGAAAACTTCTATGCTGCCCCATTCGCTGAAGCCTCGGGGCGGCTCACAAAACATCAATTAAAATATAATATATTAAAAATACAAAACGAATTAACAATATAAAATAAGTTGCCCTGGCCAAAGAATAAAATAAGGAAATAATATTAGCAATTAAAATGATGTTTGAATGAAAAGGAGGAGGTGGCTATCAGTGGCTACTCGCCTTGCTGGCTCTGTGCTCTCTCCTTTACCGAAGGTGACATGCTGGTATACATCACCTGCTGAGGAGCTTGGGCAGGCAGAGCACAGCCAGTTTTTTCTACTCTGAAGAATTAAGTGTGCATGGAAACCATGTCTTGGATCTTTCTACCACTCCCAATTAGCTACAGCTGAAAGCAGAAAATATAAACACACATTTTCTAGAGACAGCATGGGAACTTTGTGAGCCGCCCCGAGGCTCTTTGTGAGCCGCCCCGAGGCTTCGGCGATGGGTGCAGCATAGAAATGTTATAAATAAATAAATAAACTGAAAATCTGCCCACCTACTCTACACCTGAGTGGGGCCACATCACTACCCAACTGCCATATCTTCTTCATGAGGGATTGAGAGACAAAGACAAGTAAGCAAAGCAAAAAGAAACCACCCCAGCAAAAGGAAAGTCCTTTCTCACACAGTGCAGTGCTCCACTCACTCACTCACTCACTCACTCACTCACTCACTCACTCTCTGTAAGATAGAAGAAAGGGAAGAAATATTAGGAATGTAGCACCTGGTTTGGCCAGAAAATGCTGGGGTGGGGAGGTGACTTTTACCCACCCACCCCCACACATATACAGCAGTAAACTACTTGCTGACAAGTGCTCTCCTATCTATATAAAATGAAAAAAAAATTAAGCAGCTCTCATGTCAGGACTGCATAAACTGTTTTAACTATTAAAATCCATAAGAAAATAATTCCCAAACAGATAGCCATCCAGTGTTCCAAACACTCACCACAAGGGCTCTATTTGTGATTACTTCACCAGGAGGATCCAAACTATAAAGGCAAAGCATTGCCATGAACAAAAACAAATAAAATACATGTATTATTTGTTCTCCCTTTGAGCTCTTCGCTTTCATTTCTAGTTTGGCATGAAAGGACTTGCAAGGTGCAAAAATTGTCCAAGTGGTCTCTAGCAGAAGTAGAGAACCAAATTCAGTTTTGGAGAAGCTCTTGGGAACTGCATTCGAATGGTGAGTGGGGCTGAAGACAAAGTAGGTGACCCAATAGTTCTGCAGTCCACATTAAAGTATCTAGGCTGCCTTTTGCCCAGGGAAGTCTTCCTACAAAGTGCCTCCTCCCAAACCGCAATACATTTCCCATAATATTGTCCTTCCATCTTTTGCTCAATGCTTTGGGATTCTTTTTGCTTTTGTAATATCCAATATTATCCTTATTTTGTACTCTTCACGAAGCTCTGCAATGAGTAAGGGGAAGGACATTGGAAATCAACATTAGCCTGTTTCCCAACTTAAAACTCACTCAGGATAACTATGCATGGATAAACCTGTACAGCTGCCTCTGATTTGCAGTAGGCAGTTTCCCCTACTTTCTAAAGGAGGCTTAAGGACCTTTAATGGGTTAAGGTGTTTATTTAGTGCAACTGACATCCTGGTTTATGTCTAGAACAGCAAAGTGTGTTGCACAGAAAATATAGCTGGTCTCACCTTTTTTCCAGAAAAAACTCTACATCCAACTCCTCTTTCTCCTACAAATATATAAGCATCTTATTAATATAGCATGTGTAAGCACAGAAGATACAAAGTAACTCTGAATGCATATTATTTTAGATAACTTTTAAATGAAGCTCTAATCTGAAGGATAACATTTTATGTTGGCATTCTAGATATTTAAATGTTTTTAATGTTAAGATGTTTCTCTTTAAGTAAGCATTTCATCTTTACTATGTTGCAATAATTTTAGTGCTGGTTCCTCACTGCTTTTAATATTTTTAAATGTTTTACTGTTTAATATGCATCATTCTGATACTTTTGTTGTTGTATTTTGTTGTGCTGTTGTTTGTTCCTGTGATTGTAAACTGCCCCAAGGGCATTTGCCAGTTGGACAGTTCAAATCAGTCAATCAATGTGAGATTTATTTTCCAGTAGGATGGCTTTATTTCTCTCTCAGCTGAATCTTCATGCAAAATAATAAACCTAAGATCCAAGCAATAAAATGCAGAGGTTGTGCAAAATCTGCTTAACCTCTCAGTTTTACAAACTCCATTGCCTTTATCCTGCATCCAGTCCTGGGGATCTGCCACCTGGAATTATGAGGAAAAGGCCTTGCACCCCCCATTAATTTTACCACAAGGACAATTGAACAACTGAAGCAGGAGACTCCATGGTTGTTAGCCCAGAATCTCAGAGAACAAGATCTTCTAATTTAGCTGCTTGCTACTCCTTGCAATTGCTTGAGTCCAAGCCTCTGCCTGTTTTCCCCTCCTGTGGACAATCAGAGTAAAGAATCACATCTGAATAAGTCCTATCTCAGATTAAATCAAATGCCAACTCCCATCTCAAAGGTCATTTATCTAAATCTACAGAAAAGAGCAACTAAGGTAACCATCCTATGAACATTTAGAGAAAAAACAGGTCTACAATTCCCAACTTGCCCCAGCAACCTATTATACAGGACTATGTTTATATTAGTAATGACCAACAAAATAGAACCTCTGTGGTTACAAGCAGTGTGCTTCCACTTGTTGGATATGGCAAGCCAAAAAGAGGGCACTGGGTAGTATATGGGGGAATCTATCTGCTAGTGCATTAGCAGAAACAAACTCTTGCAGAACCATCATCGATGCTTGCTAATGCAATGGAAAACTGATATTTTCCATCTCCTGCTAGTAACAGCTGCAAGCATATTGGTATTTGCTAGAGCAACATGATGGGTGTTAGCAGATGGGTGTCACTGGAAGCTATCCATTGATCTTATGCACGTGAGTTTCCTAGAAAAAATGCCTGGCTGCTGCTGAAGACAAAACACTAGACTAGATGGTCTAAGACAGTAATGCAATTCTTATAATACCTGTATTTATTTACAACATTTATATACTGCTCCACATTTAAACAGATTCCAGAGCAGAGAACAGGAAAAGATAACAAGAATGGAGTACCATATTTAAAAAAAAACTTTTTAATAAACAGAATGCCTAAAAATACCATTGGTAGTCAATCAAGAAAAAAATATGTTTTCTGCAGACGCCAAAAACAAGACAGTGTGGGTGCCTGCCTGACCTCCAGAGGATGGAGTTCCAAGAAAGGGAACCACCATACTGAAGGCTCTTCTCAGGGCAGAATCTAATCTGGCTATAGTTCCATACAGAATTACCAGGTACATGTCTTCTGATTACCTAAGTAACCAGGCAGACTGCTAAGAGAAAATGCACTCTCTCAAGCATCCACATTGATAAATGCACCAGTAGCAAAACCGTAAATCTGGCCTGGTAGCAGACAGGTAGCCAACATGGTTTCCTTAGCAAAAGAATTACATGTGAAAAAGGGACAGCTCCTGACAGCTGAGCTGCTGCATTCTGCAGTAATTTCACCTTCTGGACCACCCATAAAAGTGTGTATGACCAACATCTTGACTCTGCAGTTGGTACAGAAGTAAAATGGCAGTTATAGTGTAGTTGAGTAACCAGGAGCCCTACTTGAACAAAAAGCATGCAAAGCGGTATTCTGTGCAACTTACAAGTACCAAACAGTCTTAAAGAAGCAAAGAAAGCACTAATTCAAAAAGTTAATGAGGTATTAATGGTTGTTATAGCTTTATCAAAAGCACTCCAAGTCACAGACCAACTAAGCATCCAGAAAAACCAGATTCAAGAACAGCCATATCTGTGAAACTGACTTTTTAAATGCACTTCATGCAAAATCATTAAAGAACTAACCTCTTTTAACTTGAATGTGTTTTTCAGAGGACGGCCTGGTTCAATCCCTGCCACATCAAACACGACAGAAGTAAGTTCATCACTAATGAGAACATCTTTATCAAAAAGTCTTAGTTCAAGAATGTTCTGAAACAACAGAGAAAGGGCAGCAAAACATTAGGGGAAGAAAAACATGCATTAAATGTTATACTCAAGGTAAAAACTCAACTGTTTTGAGATAAAAGAAAAAGTTAAATGAGGATGTAAACCAGATTGTTTTATTAAAAGCCAACAGAATCTTACCTACTTACACAAGACCATGAACTGCTGCTAACCAATGCATAAATAAAACCTGAACAAGTTGCTTACATTTCCCAGTCTATTTCCATGGCTAAGACACAGATCCACTACAGATGACTAACTTGCCAGGTGGTGGTTTTCTGCAAGATTTTCTTGGATAATATTGAAGAAAGAAGCATTCTGTAATTTTTTTCCCTTGCCATTCAAATGTGTGGTAAAGAGCTGGGAGCTTAACAAGGACAATAGAGTGAGTAGGCCAGGCACTCACCCTTTGTGTATTTTCCAAAACCCTATCTTACTACATTCTGGACATCAAAGAAGAGGGGATGGGAGGGCAAGAGGATCAGGAGGCAGAAGTCTTTGAAGCAACATCAAGGTTGCTGCCCATGGTTTCCCAGGCTGCCCATGACAGCAGACATGTTTTGAAAGAGACAAGAAGGGACCCAGGAGAGGAGGGAGAGCTGTTGCCCAGTCCCTGATCCTATGACATTAGAAGAGACAAGCTACCCAGTTAGGGGGCTTGTGTAGGTCTCACTGGCAGGCTTTCCACCAGTGGGAGCCACCCTGAGGGTGAAGCCCACTGTGTCAATGAAAGGGAAGGATTTGGGAGAAGGATCCAGTTTGGGCTCAACACTCACTCTTTGCATGAGCAGAGAGGACTTTTACAGTTGCATTGTCTTGTTAGCTGTGAAGTGCCAATAAAGATCTGCATTGTAAAGGACTGTTCGGTGTTTTGAAGCACAGGGCAAGAAAAGAAAAGTCTGAATTGTGATAGACAGCTTTCCTACATTAGCCATCTGTTGATATGGTAATCTTTATTGGTACCCCATGGCAGATGACTAGGACATATTAAACCATCTACTTCCATCATTAGTGATAAAATGCTGAAGCAATGTATGGAAGGATAGCTCTACACCCTGTAACAACAGAACTAATAAATAACTAAGGGTGATCCAACAGCAACAAGTTTTGCATGTATCACTGCATTCTATCACAGTTTAGTACACATTAAAACAAAAGTCAAGGTTTCACACAATCACTGTGATGAGCTGGTCACCTGTATTCATCCACAGAGAGCACCACTCCATTTAAAAACCTAATCTGTGCAAATAATAATTGGGAGATGCATTTGTCACAATTTGCCATAGAAAATTCAAGTTTGTTTTTTATTTTATTTCATCATGACATTCCTTTCTGCTTCCACGGCTTGAGAGACCAGCACAGACAAATAAGATTTCCTGTCTCAATTGCACTGGTCCACCACCGATGTCCAGAATAATACTATAAGAGTAAAGTGCCAGCAGGAGGAAGAGAGTCACAAAATAGCAGAGCTGGAACTGGGGTTAGTGAAAGGCCAATGAATATTGATTTGCAAGGTCATATATTTTCCTGTGAAAATCTTTGATTTTCAGAAAAGCATGCTGTTTTCCTTCTTAAGCTGAGAAAGGCTACCATATCAGTAGGATGGTAAAAACTGGTGACCTGCAACAGCAGGGGATTGGACCTGATGACCTTCTTAGCCCCTTCCAAATCTACTATTCTATGATTCTATTATATATAAATTACTCTCTAAAAGAAGAAGCATCCTTTACCTTCACTGCATTGTGAATTCTATAGTGAAAAGTTTCATTCCATTCTGGGTCACTCGAATTATCAATAACTTGTGTTCGATAAATGATTGGTGATGCAGTTGGTAGACTCAATTCCACATAGCAATCTGCTTTGGACACTAGAAGGAAGAAAAAAGAAATGTTTTCCATCAGGAACTCATTACTTTCCCTATATCTAGCAATAAAACCAGCAATAATAGAGGTATTATGCGTAGCTCATAAATTCCATGACCATTTAATTGTAACCAAAGAAAGTTACCTGCTATTTCATGTTCTTTTTTTAACCAACTGAGTTTTCTTAAAAACAGGGAATTTAACCAATTATTCTTTTATTTTCAAATATACAACAATTATTTTTAAAAGGCTTTGAAGCATCTTTCCAGTTATTTCCACCCTCTTCTAACCATGGCTAATACAATGGAACCTTTCAATACTAGAAGTGGACAAGATTTTTGGATCAGTGAAGCTGTCCATGTGCATGCTTGACCTTTGCCCATCTTGGTTTGTAAACCCATCCAGAAGTGGACTGGCTAATTAAGTGATGAACATCATCAACTTTTTAAAATATGGGTTTTACTCCATCCTGCCTAAAAATGTCCATAGTTCATCCTCTGTTAAAATCATCATCTCTGGATCCCAATGTTTTAAATAATTATTGCCTAGCAATATTCCATTTTGGAGTAAAGTACTTGAGCATTTGAATACTCAAATGAAAGAACTCCAAGAATTCCTTGAAGAAAATAATTATTTGGATACTTCTGTCCTGATTTTGGAAGAAAATCAGCCTGGAGTATCTTAATACAGATCAGCATCAGAAGGCATACAGAATATTTCTGTCCCTGCTGCTTCTGCAGGACCTTTTGGTGGCTTTATACCATCAGCCTTTCTTTGCCATTGTCACATAAATATCCATTCCCTTGTTATTTTACTGCTGTTCCATATTCATCTGGCACTGAAAATTCTCCTCCTGTCAGTGCCCTCTGTGCACTCCCGAAATTCGCTCTGGAGGGTTGGGGGACCTCCAGGGCAAATTTGGAGCACACAGAGAGGAGGAGAGGATGGAATAAACATTCCAGTTTGTTCCTAAAGCATAACACTGGATTGTTTCTTCCTCAACATTAGAGCACCAGCTATGGGTGAACAGTCAGGAGCCGACATGCTCACTTGCTCTTGCTTGCTCCCAAACAAGCTGTGGTTAATAAACTGTGGGTTGTTTAATTGTGTACATAGGGTCAATGAGGCATGCAGAGGAAACCAAAATAAAGTCTTCAGATACTTACACAAATCTGTTCCTTTAATGTTTCTGGCTCGGAGGATTTTTACTGTGAGATTATAGTAAGGATGCTTCTCACGCTGCAGAAGATAATCAACCCAAATATAACAACTATGACTAATTTTATCTAGCAAACGTAAAAAGTTAAGCAACTGTCAGGCTTGGTCAACCCAATTATTGTTCTAGATCTGTTTGCTGTCCCCAGTATGAAAGAATGGACACACAGGAAGGAAATCTATACGGATGCCTAGACATGTATAGATACAGTAAGCTAACCACTATTATGTCTCTCGATTTCCAACCGCCAGACACTTAGTAATATACAAAGCAGGAAGCTGCATCCATAACTGTCTTAACATCTAGAAAGAGACCACACATTGAAGGATTTCAAAAAAATCAGACTGCTAACTGGCAGTGAAATCTATGTGCACTATATTGGTGATCCACAGGCCCTTGTACTTTCCTTCTTGAATTGGATGTCTACAAGTAAAATAAAAATTCACTCGGCAATTCAACCATCATCACTAACAATGATTACTAATTCTACTACAGTTGTTTTTTTCTTATCTCCTTTCTCAATTAACAGTACCACTCCTTTATAGCTTCTATATAGCATTTTCCATCTTGGTTGTGCAAATGACCAACTGGTAAGTGATCAAGCACTTTAACCAAAGGAAAGTCAAGCTCTCCCAGTTTTTATTTTAATGACCATCAAGAACTGGGGGAAGCTATGTTGCAAGTAAGGTTAAAAGAAGACAAACAATTTAAGACAGTTCTGCACGCGCACACACACACACACACACACACACACACCCCTAGTGTATGTTGGGGGGGGGGAAGAGGGAGAAAGACTGAGATTTGCGGTTTGAATTCTAGGATTGCATAGCAATAGACGTGCTTAGCAGGTATCTACAAGCTTCCAATTGGCTTTGTTTGCATATCTGAAAATAAAATATACATCCAAAATCACCTTAAGTGTAGGGACTGGGCCTGCTTCTCCCAAAATACACATTTCCAAGGTGAATATTTCAGATTCTGAATTTGAACTGAAAGGACAGGTGGGGCTCGAATGCCTGGGTCAACAAGCTGTGAGATAAGCCAAGCAGCTAGTGAGAACAAAACCACCTCTGGTTTAGAGACTCTAACAGGTGGGGAGGAGCAGAGGGGAAGGTATGGTATTTAATCAGCCACTAGTTTAACATCAGATCCAACAAGCTGAATTGAGTAATGTCTGCAATCTCACCATCTGGCCCACAAGCAGCCCAAATCTTCCTGAGGATGGAGCTATCTCCATTTGATAGAGAAGGGAGGAGAGGAATTCAGTTTGAAATCGACCTTCTGGATCAGCAGAATTAACTAAGCAACTGCATTGGTCATGAACTTGATGGATGCTTCATACTCTGCATCACAAAACCAGCACTGGTGGGCCACCTTGACATAGTAAAAGATTAGTTTGAAGCTTCTTGCCTTAATTGGTTGAGTGGGAAAATACTTTAAGTATACTGTTATACTTTTCTGTGTCTCTCATTCTGAGTGCCATTAAATGCTTCTAAAAATGAGAAAGCCAAAATAGCAAACTTCATCAAATATGAAAGAGAAGCTACATGGATTTATGCTACAATATTTTAGCAGAAAATGTTAGGAATGTTCTACTCATTTCTCCAGGACACTGATTAGACACTTTAGAGTGATCTTCACTGAACTCAAAATGACAATGAATTTAAAATATACCACAATATAGAAATGTTTCCATAGGACACGCATTTTACAATGCTGTGTGTTTAAAGTGCAGCATATACAATAAATAGTAGGAAGTTTTAACTTTCATGGCTTTTCTCTGACAAGAATACAGGTTTTGAAGAGTCAATTATCAACAGGAAGCTTTCCTGTTTATTTTAGGATGTAAAACAGTAACTGATCTGCAGATAGTAGCAGGAATATGTTCAGGGAAATGCACTGGTCATCACGGTGTATATGCTGGTGGAGACAGTATAAGCAGTCAGGTTCAGGTTCTGACATGCTGACAGTCAGCAGTCATAATATAACATACTGGAAAGGTCTCTTCATGAAAAAATGTCTTGACGTTAAGAACAGTAGCAGTCTGCTAAAGGTTCACAGACAAAATATTTGGCAAGCCAAGCATTATTAGCTTTTTTTTCAAAATTAAAGCCAAAACAGTGGTTTCTACTACTAAAATCAAATAGTAAAATATAGTTACACACAAACATCTTAGAGATAACCCTTATATTCAGCTATCATACCTGCCATGCCAAGAGTGCTCTGTCCTTGTATGCTCTGCTTCATTTTTCTATCCTGCCACTCTACCGTTTGGTACAGATGATGATCATGTTAGACTATTTTCAACTTAGTTTGCTTAGCTGTTATTTCAGGTTGCTTATTGGTGTTCTGTATCAATAGAGCAGATCTGAACTATGGATTTGTGCAAACTGCTTTAATGTACTAACAATAGCAATTGTTGATTGGATGTTCAATTTAAGTTCAATAAACACAGGCCAGGCCAGCTATATTCCTTCCATTTCCAGCATCCCCCAAAAAGTTGGTGGCAGAAAGGGATGGACCAACAGAAATCACAATAAATAAGCAGAAGAAACAGAATCTTTGGTTAGAGGAAAGACCAGTGACATAAATTAGTAGCAGGAGCAGAGGATCAGATGCAAATGGGAAGCATGATCTTATACTAACACTGTGCATATTTTCAGACAGATAACTCCTAGCACTACTGGCACTTATTTGTTTGTAAGCCGCCCCGAGGCTCTTGCCATGGGTGCAGCATATAAATGTGTCAAATAAATAAATACTAGTGAAAATACATCATGCAGTAATTTCATCTTTCTCTCTTTAAAGTATTGCTGGTTATGTACTGCCTCTAGTGTCAGAGGCAGCATGCTGATATACACCAGGTGCTGAGGAGCTTGGGTAGGTGGAACTCTTGTACCCCTCCTGCTTGAGGAATCCTCTGAGAAGCTGGTTTGCCATCATGTGCACTGAGTACTGGACTGGATGGACCACTGGTCTGATCCAGCATGGCTTTTCTTATGTTCTTATTTTCTGTAATAGGAAAGAATCAGCAGAAAGACACAGGAAGATACCAGCAGGACAATGCCTTTTGGTTGTTAGCAAAAAGTTCTCTCCATCTGGAAGTGCTGTTGGATTCCACTTGAAATAGGTAGGCTAAACAGGGTGAGTCAAGGTGATCAAACAGAACTGAGGAAATCATTATTGAGTCTTTCATAGCTGCCTAGGCATAAGACAGATCAAGCTGTATAGCTGAAGCTTGGGAGTTTCCAGACATTTAGTAGTACCTATTAGAAGGAATTGTAAAGTTATTCCATCTTTTTCTCCATAATGGATTTTCTGTGATAAGAAGAGGTAGTAATGAGAAAACCTGAAAGGGTTATGGCTTTGTCTAGATCTTATATAAAACTCTGTAAATGACTGAGGTACCAATGGTGTAATAAAAGTTTCATCTGGAAGAAACCCCTGTTGTTTTATATGGCTAGGAAAAGCTTCCAGTCTTTCACAAACACCACCACTGAGGAAGTAGCTCCCTCCAGGTGAGTGCCCTCCAGATATGCTGTACTGCAACGCTCATAATTCCCAGCTAGCATCCAACCTGGTCATGCTCACTGTCAGCAATGGGAGTTGCAGTGCAAGTTTTCTGGAAAGCCCCCAGTTAGTCAGGGCAGCAATCCTGTTAACAGTACTTTGCTGTAAAATGTAAATGTAAGCCAGGCAAAAAAGAAGGCAGGGTCCTTGCTTTTGCCGTGATTGAGTGGAAAAGAGAAATGTAGAAGATGCAATTTCTAGTTTGCCAGGTATGTGACATAAGAATATCAGAAGAGCCATGCAGGATCAGACTACAGAGCCACCTAATTCAGAATACTACAGATACTGTAACCAACCAGCTGCTCACTGGAAATTCACAAGCAAGGCATAACTGAAGCACCACCTTCCCACCTGTATTCTCAGCCAACACCTGTTATACACAGGCATACTAGTGCTTCTAATACTGGAAGTGGCAAATAGCCATCAGGACTAGTAGCCACTGATAGTCTTCTTTTCCGTTAACTTATGCAATCCCCTTTAAACCCCTCCACATTGATGTCCACCACTACATCTTATTAAAGTGAATTCCATAATTTACGAATGTGAAGAGGTAGTTTCTTTTATCTGTCTTGACTATCCCAGCAATCAACTTCACGAGAAGCCCATATTCTAGAATTACAAGGAAGAAAGTTTCTCTGCCCGTTTTCTCCATATCATGCATAATTTTGGAAACCTCACTTGCATCTTTTTAAAACTGTAGTAAGCTTTCTTCATAGAGGAGCTGCTCCAGCCCCTTGACCATCTCAATAACCCTTTTCTGCACTGTTTCCAACTCTACAACATTCTTTTTAGGTGCAGCAACCAGAACTGCACACAATAATCTACTTGTGGTCGCACCACAGACAGGTGTAAGTATAATCTTGGCGGTTTTATTTTTCAGACACCTGCTGAATTGCCTCTGCGGCACAATCATTACAGGTGCTGTAGCTCTGTCGAGCTAAGGCATTTCGCTTTGCCTCTCCTTCAAAACTAAGCTGTTCCACAGACAGTCAAAACTTTGTTATCCCAAAAGCGGCTCTGCCTTTAACCCACGAAAAGCGGAGAAGCAGGAAGATGCCGCGGATTTCCTTCTACTTATGCCCGCGCGGAAGTCTCCGCGATGGGAAATCAACCCCAGCTTTCAGAGTCAGTCCATAGTTTTACCCGCCAGTGGTAGAGGCCGGACTCTTTCCTCTCCTTCCGCTGGAGCAACACGGCGGCCACGAGGGGCAACAGTCGGGGCGGCGGGCGGCCTAGCAGCACCTGGCGGAACATGAAGGGCTTTGCAACGGAGCCGCTCCGGGTCTGGATTCCCACACGGCGGCGGAGGCGGCAGTTCCCAAGGCGGGCGCGCAAGGGCGCGACTTCAGGTGTACAGCAATTGTGGCTGGGCTCGTTTCAAAGGAAAGACCAAGGGAACGACAGGAGGGAACTCGCTCCAAATAGAGATTTTTTTCCCTTAAAGCACTGGATTGAAAAGGTCAGGCTTCAAAAAAGGTTTCGTCTTTCCTTCCTCGCTCCGCACCCCCACCCGACTTGTTCTGCCAGATTTTGGAACAAGTTGCAACCGCGGCGTTGCACCGGTCCGGTGAATCAGCCTCTTCCCGGGAAGTTTTGATTTACGAGTGCCTGTGAAATCTCTTTGGAGTGTCGCAAGTCACGAAGTTAAAAAGAAAAAGGTGCCGGGGGGCGGTAGGGGTGGAGATGAAGTCATGCTACCATGAAGGAATCTAGGAGAGGGGACGGAGTTACTAGTGTTTAACGAAGAAGTATTTGTGTTTTAAAACAAAGCTAGTATAACTGGTAATTAATCCTTTTCAATAAGGCTTCGCACTTTTGGCTGCAGGGCTGGGCGACTCTCATCTGGTGCAACTCCCATCAGTCCTAGCTAGTGAAGTCAGTTGAGAGCATTGATGAGACTTCTGGGCCAAAACATCTAGGTGATAAGCTGGCCACCCCTGAATCCTTTCAGGGCTGTTTATGATTACAGCAAGCCGCTTTAAGGTATTCTACTCACTGTTCAACTAATCTGAGCTTTAATAGCTACGGATGCAAATCTGTGCATGTTTAGGCAGAAATAAGGCCCATGAATCCCACCATTGCCTGCCTAAATGTGCATACGATTGCACCCAAAAGTTTGAGTACAATGTAGATATACATATTAAAACATTTGTGGCTTTCCTTTCCAGTGTTTGGATTTAAGAAATTTCCAGCAGTTTTCACCTTGCAAACAATATATACCTTTTTATTCAACCACATTTCCCATATTTGTATGGAAATTTTAAATACTGCTAAGTGGAACCTTGCTTCATTGGAATTCGCTTGGCCTCAGACGTGAAAACTTTGAGGAAGGCCTTGAAAAATCTTATGAAGTTACTAAATGTATATGGTTTACCATTTGACTTCGTTTATGGTTCCTTGAGTATTTATGCTGCTGCCCTTAGTTTAACTGCTGTTATATTTGGTCATTGTACTCGTTATGGTTATGTGAGTTTGAATGAACTCTATGACTCCTTATGATTGCCTCTGTAGAAAAACAAAATAGAAAGCAGCATCTAGGTCAGGATGGTCCAACACGGGCCACAGGCTACATGTGGCCCCAGAGGCCTTGTCCAGCAGCCCTCTTACTGACAGTGAAATATAATTCATTGTGCAGCCCCAGTTCCGTGTCCAAGTCCTCATGTGACCCTTAATGTACGAAAAGTTGGACTGCCCTGATCTAATGAAGAAGCTGTATAGTGTTTCCTTATGATGAGTCATTTTTGTATTTGTATTTTCTTTTCTCTGATATTAGTGCTCAAAACATACAGTGGTACCTCGGCTCATGGATGCTTCGGTTCACAACCAAATTGGGTCACGAACAAAAATTTCATTAAAATTTTAACTCAGGTCGCAAACGCCACATTGGGTGCTGACCAAGATTGCTGCCATCTCCCCCCCCCCCCCCGAGTGGGGAGATGGCCACGATCGTGTTGGGGGTGAGGGGGAGATGGCCAAGATTGCACCCAACTTTCCTGCAAGAGCACAACTACAATCTCAGCCATCTCCCCACAGCATGATTGCGCCCGTCTCCCCCCCAGTGCGCCCGTGTTTGCGCCCGTCTCCCCCCCAGTGCGCCCGTGTTTGCACCCATCTCCCCCCCAGTGCACCCATGTTTGCGCCCGTCTCCCCCCGCCCCCCAGCGCACCAGGATGATGCGCGCTATCGTGGTAGTGCTGGAGGAAGCGGGGAGATGGCCACACTCATGCTCAGGGTGGGGGGGGTGAGGAGATGGCCATAATCTTCATTGTTGTCACTTTGCTTCACATTTTTCTGATTTAAAAAAAAATAGTTACAGAATGGATTAACCTTATCTAAATTTAACTTGGCTCATGACCATTTTGGGTCACGAACAGAGTCCTGAAACGGATTAAGTTCGTGAGCCAAGGTACCACTGTATTTAAAAATAAAAGCAGGGTTTCAATATTCTATTAAAAATCTATTATTAAAATGTCTCAGGTTTTTGTACTGTGCATTGTTTTCATAGTATTGGTGCAAAGTAGGGAAAACACCTCTCTTGTAAATTTAGTTGGGACCAACACCAACTTTTTGCTGTTCATGTGTTGTCCTCCCAAAAAGGCCTTGTCTGCTCACCCAAATGCAACAAGGTGAGACGTTTGTCAACACTCAGCTGAGGTCCTTGCTGTATCCATAAACTGAGTAATGCTTTTCTGATTTCAAAAACTGTGCTTTGTTCTTTGTTCTGCAATTACTTTTCATCCTATAACCTGCAACCTTTGCCCTACCAAGCATATTCAGAATCATGCAACAGTGCTGTAGCCACATGCAGCAGTTGCATAAGTGGGACAGGAGGTTACAGTTGTTCCTATTTATACAATTTCAATGCACTTGAAGTACTTTGGACAGTCATTATTTCACTGGATACATTCAGTGGGGATACTAATGAGCGATTAAGTAATGTTTAAGCTTGCAAAACACTACTTTAGGCTGAAATGGTCAGAACAAAAATCTAATTGCATTACGAAGTTCATCTTTTACACTGGATTAGGCAGAACAAAGACACAGAGGAAATGTAGTTGTAAAGTTACATGAGGAAACAAAAATAAGGAAAAAAGACACAGGAATGACCTCAGAACCCTGTTTCTATTACATGTGCAATTGCTATCTGCCAGGAGCAAATTGATGGTATTTACTGTTACTTCTGCATTCAATTGCATTCAATTGACTCCTATTAAATAATGTATATGTTAGAGTGTGTTCAAGTTAATTTGGGGGTAACAGGGATCAGTTCATTTTAAAGGTGAGCACACTGCTACATATGTTTAAATGTCTATTGTGCAAATGAAAGAAATTGGTTGATAGTATGTAACCATTGTCCAACCACTTACTCAATTAGGGCCAAAATTCAAAAAAGAACCATTTATCGATAAGCCAAGTAATCTCAGTAAAGGGTTTTTCCTTACTGTTGCCTCCTCAACAGTAAGGTAAACTGGTGCTCACCAAGAATTTTGCCTGATTGGCTGGTTGAGCAGGAAGTGCTACCTCACATTGGGTCTCACAATCCTCCAAAGCAGGTTTTCAGAGTAGAGGTGTGATCAAAAACTACAGTGAATGACACATTGCGATTAATCCCCCTCAAAATACTTCCCCTCACTTCAATACTTCCCCAGCACTACTGTGGCTGCCTCAATGTCCAGAATCAATTCAAGTCAAGAGGAGATGGATCAATTCAAGTTGAGACAAAAAGGTTCAAGTCAAGACAGACTGATTCAGGACATCAAGGCTTTTTTTCCAACTTGGGTACACAACCGATGACATTTTCACTGCAACCACATTTTTTTCACTTTACTCACAGTTCAAACCTAGCAGTGTCATTCAAACTGTGGAGTGATTTTGTCTTGACTCTAACATTTGAACCCTGGATCATTTGAAGTTAGAGTTGTTTGAACTACAAGGCACCACTGTATAAATAAATGTTTTGGAATAGTGCATCAAGTACAACAAAGTTGATTTTAAAAAATGGAAACAAGTAGTTTCAAAGTCAAAATAGAACTCTAAGTCCTATGTCTGCAGGCCACAGCCTATTGATGTCTAGGTAGACCAATCAGTTGGGACTGACAGGGATTAAAAACCAGTGGGAATAATTAAACTAGAAAGCTTTATTTTTTGTATCTGGTGCTGTTTTAAAATGACAATCATGTTAAAATTTAAAAATGTAAAAAGAACAGGTTTTCCAGCTTTTCACAGTTCAAGAGAATCTGAAGGGAAAATAACATCTATTTGAAAATGTAGTTAATGTATCCTAAATAGGAACAACTCCAGAAATAAGTTACACAATAAAAAAACAAAAACTGCAGCAGGTTTATAAAACAATGTCCTGTGGCTCACATTTTAAAAGCAGCAATGTTTTTCAGAGCCAGGGCCTCATATTTTGGAACCGAATTGTCAACATCATTAGTGTGAACCAAAAAAAAATTAATAGCAAATGAGTGTAGGATAGTACTCACATATTCTGAAAATAACACACACACACACACACACACACACACACACACACACACACACAGAAAAAGCTGATTCCCCAGAAGCTTTTAATAATGTATTGTTTTAAATAAACCTGCTGCACATTTAGGAAGTCCCAGAATCTGTGCAAGACTATCAGTAGGCAATTACAGCAAAGGCCAGATCTCTGCCAGAAGTGCATAATGAATCTGAAATAAGGCACATAAAGGAGAAAAGTAGATTGTTAAGCTTTTGCATTCCACATATCTTTATTGATCCGGGTCTCAGGTTTGACCATTCCACCTTTGCTGATCCTACTAGGAGACCAACCTAGTGAAAGAATCTGGCCTCTTGCCAGCACTGTTTTCAGCTTTAACATTTTTGTACCTTCTATGTTAAGCTACTCATCCAAGGGGTATATTTCCCTCTAGAAATAAATGGGCATACATGATAAACACGATCTCATTGCAATGTTATTCTTTCCTTGAAATAAGAAAAATACAACATATGAAAAATGATTTTAATTTCATTACAAGAACAAATCCCAAACTCAGCAGTAAGACACAATTGGTATTTACTGCACATAACAATGAACTATGTATGATTTAAGACCAGACTTCACTGGAAATAAGGTTAAGGTAGCCAGGGAAGCAAATATTACGAAAGGCCTGTTTTGCAGTAGATCAAATTACACACTAAATATCCACAACACATTTGTCTGAGGACAGTGCTGAATTTTAGTCATTAGTCCTATAGTGCATTAGCACTGCTGAAAATTATAGTGTAAAGGACCTTTAGCATAATGCCAATAGCCAATGGCATTACAGGGAATCCAAGGTTTTTCAGGGAATCAATTGTTCCCTTCTGTAAAAAGCTTGACTTGTTATTCAGATTTCAGATGAGAATATTCAGTATATCTTTATTACATATGCAATAAATAAGGCGCAGAACAATATGTTGGACAAAAAAGCCTGTGGGAGTATCATTTTAACTCGGTACTTTCCAGCATTAAAGTGATCTGGGTACACATAGCCACAGAAGAATTCCAGGGTGAAATCGGAACACTGACAGGTAAATAAATGTATGTTTTACTTTAAAGCAGGGCAGTGCATAAATACTTAATTGTATTAGAATGCAATGGTACCTCCAATGTTTAGACCAGATGTTCAAGTAATATACAAAATGTACCATTATGTTAAGTGAGATACTTTAAGAGTGCAATCACATGCATGTTCAGACAGAAAAAATAATCTACAATTCCCAGCATCCCTGATCATGACTGGCTCGGCCATACTGGAAGCTGGACTTTTTTCTGTCTTAACATTCATAGGATTAAATCTTAAAGTTGAAGAGGCTATTCTTTTAAAATTTTAATACAAGTGCAGGTGCTAGTTCCCCATCCCTTCAGAAAACCATTGTCACTTTTCATTCCACTCGTAATGGAAACTGTACACAGTGCAAATAGTATAGCTATTCATATTTACATTCCTCTCAAAAGCAATAGTATAAAATACATGTTGCCCGTTCTGATCATATTGTATGAAATTAATTCCCTCAGAACTTTTTCAAATTTGTTGTGATAACTGCTACATGAAAAACACATAAAGTTTTCTAGTCAGTAATATGAGGAAAGAGTATCTAGGTGCAGAGTTGCTGGAAGTATCTGCCTCCAAAAGTCAGAAATGGCTGATTAAAGTAGATCTCAACACAAGACAAAGTAAACAGTAAGATTTTATCCCATGTATGATTGGAATGTAAAATCCAACACATATTTAATATTAGTTTTTAATATCATTTTTAACATGACTTGTACTTCCTTGGAATGAGATTTTCTGCAAAATCTGGAGTAAAACAACAACTCGATAGTATTTAATTTTCACTTTCTTCTTGCTGCTGTGAGGTTAGTCTGCTGCCATGTATGTCCAAAAAAACGTGCCTGTTTTCCTACAAGTGAAGTCATCCCGTAAAGCAACATGGAGCTCAAGTGCTTTGACACAACATGCCACAGAAGATTCCTTAGAGATGTCAATTGCTTTTCTAAAGCACTTTGCTTTACTTCCATGTGAACATCATGGCTATCATAGTCTACATTTCACATACCATTGTTTTCAGGTGTCTCCTGCTCCAACTTCTTTGGAACAGAAATAATGCACAACCATTGCATTGGGATAGCGGGCAAAGGCACTATGGGAAGAAAGGAAATGTAACAAGTTAAATATCATGAGAGTCAAAAAAATCTGGAAAAATGCATGGAGAAATACAGAAAATTTTGAAAATTAATTTTCCCATGGTTGCTAAGACTATGTTGCTGAACTTCATACCAGAAACTCTGCCAAAGAATATGACAGTTATTCAAATATGATATCCATGGCCAGAGTCATAATTGCTTCAAAATGGAAAGAAGAAAATAATCCAACTATTGAGGACTGGAAAAATAAATTAGCAGACTATGCAGTAATGGCAAAACTACAGAAAACCAGGCAAAGAATTAAATGATAAGTGGAAACTGTACTATGCACAGCTTGTAACAGAAAAATCTACAGATGAACGGAGTGGAACTTTGAAAATACTGTTGGAGATTAACATTTGAATGAATGCTTCACTATAAGAAGAGTTGTGAAACAGGAGTCAGAAAATACTGTTAGAGTTACTGCATGGATTGCTGTTTTGTCATTATAATAAGCAGACTCAAGATGAGTACAGCCAGAGTATATGATAACTCTAACTGTGGTTAGGATTAAAACTGCTTTAAAATGGAAAGCAGAAGAAATTTAATTACTGAAGACTGGAAAAATAAGTCAGTTGATAATGTAGTAACTACATAACTAGACTAATTATAAGACTAGCTAATATACAGAAATAGAACTAGGCAAAGAAATAGATAAGTAGAAATTTTATTACACACTTTTAATGGAGATAATAATAATGGAAAATATGTAAAAAGAACAGAATTTGAGAAAATTGTATGAGATTAGAAGACTCTACAATGAATTTTAATTAAGTGCAAAAATGTGAGTAAAAAGGATAGTAATTATTGATTTACAATGATTTTTCTTAAAAATTAGACATGCTATGTAGCATTTAAGAACGCTTGGTGCTTCTTTGTAATCTTTATTTGTATTCTTGTCTTTTCTTTATATTTTCTTTCTAAATTACTCTTATTAAAATGTTTAAAATCTAAAAAAGTTACAGTTCTTACTGAAATTATTTCTGCTCTTTATTAGAATAGCACAGAACTTAATCTAAAGCACACAGAAGTAGTGCTGCTTAAAAACTGCAGCAAAACTTGTGAGATTGTTTGCACCGATATTTCATTCTTCTACAGTTTTTAATATTTGGTCCCTCTTGTGCAACCTCATGTGTTTTCCTTCTCTTACTGCTATAAGAAGCAGTTTATGTATCATTTGTGATATCTGATATCCACAGATATATCCAAATCCACAGAGACAGTCAAGAAATCACATACATACTTCCAAATTTGCTAGGCTATTAAGAAAAGAATGTTATGAGATTGCAAATGGTTGGGACTATATACAGTGAGGTGGATGACAGGGTTTGATCCTCAGCACTGCAACTGAGTAACAGGCATGTCATTTCTTCCTGGACATACATACAGATTAAAGAAGAGGTAAAACGTAAGATTTTTTTTAAATCATTAAAGAAGCAGAAGGAAGGTCAGAACAATGGCTAGAATATGGAATCTTAAGAAATCATTGTTCAAGACAATAAGAACAACACTGAAAGACCACTGGTTTTGAAAATTAGTGAGAAAATTACAAAGAAGCAAGTTCCATTGAATTTAGCACCACTCACTTCTGAGAAAACATACTTAGGAGTGGAACATTAGAGAATTCAACAGCCATCCTGGCCCACTGCTGGTCCTCTATGGAATATTTCTGTAAGAAACAGGTTGAGTAGCAATTTCTATACACTATGTGCTTCTTTAAGGCAATTTACCATACCTATTTCCAATCTTCTTTTTACATACACTGCAAAGCTTTTCCTCTGTGATTATACATTTCACTTGCTGATGTAAAATCCGTTCCTCTTGTACCTGTGGCAAAATAAAAACAAAGGGAGTAAAACAATCCCTTGCAGATAGATAGCTTGAAGAGACAAAGAAGTGGTCTTTTAGTTAGTAGGGAATTTTTGTTCTTGGGCTATCATAGTCTACCATTTTTTACATCTCATCTTTGCAAGGAATGTTGTTTTATATATCTTAATATCTTATTTAAATTTTCTCCTTGATAATCACAAATAGAAAAATATGGGCACATACTCTCAGGAACTCAGCATGAAGAAGATTTTTAAGGACTTGATTGAATCGCTTCTTCTGGGCATTTTCTTCAAGGACTTTTTCAAGAAATATTCGGATTTCACCAATTTGAGTATTTGCTGGGAGAAGGTTTATTGCCTAGAAATAAAAGAGAAATGAGGCAGCAAAGAAATCATTTATGCTAATTTATCCAAAAGATGGTTTCAATATTCCAACTACTCATTTGCATTTTATTTTGTCCTAGCATCGAGAATGACCATAAACAGAATAGAAAATATTTCTTGAAAATTTCTGTTTATAGGTTCACAAGTTATATGAATATTGGTTATGAGATGCAGATTCTCCTTCCCTCCCTCCTGTGTATATAATAAAAATAAAGGATTTTTTTACTTTGGTAGTGTCCAGTTTGCTGTGATGAAGTTCCAAAACCTGCAATGCAGCTTGAAGATTGGCTTGAGGCTCTAGTAGTTCCATCTTGATTGGTCCCAAGCAATGAACACTAGGTGGTGAGAGATACATTCGGAGCAGAGACAAGTATACCTGTTTGACACAAAACAAACCACTGATGTTGAAAAATACACACTCCAGGATGGCTGGTGCTAAGCTTGCCAATTCTCAACAAAGAAAGCCTACAATACTATAGACACTTAACTAGGACCAAGTCCCACTGAAGTCAATAAATTTACTCCTAAGTAAATATGTATAGGACTACACTCTAAATTTTGAAGTAGATTTGTCTTGATCTAAGTATTTTCAGCTTCAGACAAGCTCTTGCTAAAATTAGATTATAAGAAGAAGAATGTATATACTACAGATCTAACACATTGAGATTCTGAGATTTTCTACAAGACATTTATCACAGTCTACCCTGTGCTCAACATCAGAGGCCTTCTTCTGAAAGCTACCTCCAAAGGGAGGTTTGGTTAATGGTAACAAGGAAAAGGGCCTTCTCTGTGGTAGCCCCCAAATTAAGGAATGATCCATTTACCAACACCTGCCTGACATCAGCAGTACTCTCTTTCTGGCACCATGCTAAGATGGCCCTGTTTGAGGAGGGATTTACCAACTCCATATAGCACATGGGAATGGGGAGTACTGTTAGTTGTTTTTAGCAGGCCTTAAAGTAAATAATGGGCTATATTATTAAAATATGGTTTTAAATAGTGTATTTTACTGTTATACTATTTTTATTGTTTATATTGTATTGGATTTAACTTGTACACCATGCAGAGATCCTTGGCTATCAGATAATACTGAAATTAAGTCAATAATGTGCTTGTCATCCTCTATTAACATTAATTTATGGTTCTGATGGTGAGTGCAATGGGGATAGGTTTAAAGCAGGGATCCTCAATTTTTGAATAGGGGGACAGTTGAAAGGTGCCAGCAATGGGCACGGGCCACCAAGACGGTGCGGGCCGGGGGGTGGCATGCGTGTGTGCATGCGCGCAGCAAGGCAGGGGCGTGCGTGTGCAGAGATCATTTTCTCCCAACGAGTCCAAAGCAACCTCCTTGTGAGCAAGCCAGCACCTTGCCACATGCACGCATGGCGAGCTATGGCGGGCCGGATAAATGGGCATGGTGGGCCGGATCCAGCCATAGTTTAAGGACCCATGGTTTAAATCTTCATTCCTATTTCCCACCCCACAGCATGGTTCTAAACTGATTCCCCCACCTCCTGCAGGCTATTTTCTAAATATCAAGCACAACGTACTTGTGACAACTCTCATGTTGAATATGGCTTGAAAAGAAGCATGTTTGATCATGAGGCATATTCTAAGTGATGTAAAATAAACTACTCACGTCTTTGTTGCCATCTCTGCTTCTGTCATAGTGTTTGTGACAGTAACTGAAAAGAAATTACAAGAAGTTAGTGACACTGCAGCTTGGCATATCAGAAGTTACATATTTTGACTTACAAGCCAACAATTGTCATTGAATACTAAAAAGATATTTAAATAGGTTCTTAGAGTCTTTTGCAAAAGAAACTTAAAAAGGAACCGATCAACAAATAGGAAGCATACATTCCCAAGGTTATGCATACATACTACGTACTTATTTAGTCATTCATACAAATTTGCACAAATACTTTTCAAAAAAGCACTTGCTAATTTCTACTTGCCTTGTTAAGCTGCACATAAGACTTCTTCACACTGCAAACATAAGTGGCATTGGGAAGAGTGACGCAATGGACCAACTGTATCACATTTGAAGTTTTAAAATATATTGGGGGAGGGGAAGGGATGCTGCTTGATTTTTCAGCTTGGGGGATCTTTTAAAATTTTAAATCCCTCACTCCCAAACTCCAAGTAATGAGAAATCAGGCATGTCAGATCCAGGTTGGTATAGCCAAAGGCCCCTCTTTAGAGAACTGAGCAGCTTTGCATCTGGTGAGCCTTATGTTCTGGGGCCTTATGCTTGCTATCCCTGGCAGGAACACCATCAGCTTTTGCAGGAGAAACTGGATGCCAAGGCAAAAAGAGTCTACCGATTGTGAAATTTGCCCCAGCCATCCTGCTCTGGGACTGTAAACTTCCTTCTCTGTCTGTTCATATAGATTGTTAAGAACTGGCCACTGGAGCCTCAGGGAGCCTTATTGGCTAATGTGGCGGGACAGAAATCCAATAAATAATAGGACCTCCTTGCTAATTGTACTAAAGTGGTCGGATAGTATAATTGTAAAGCCTAATTTCACAAAAAAAAAAACTGAGATGAAAAATTAATCATATAGCTGACTAACTGAGATGGTCTAATACAAATCTTCAATAAACCAAAAGGATAATGTTGTGTGGAAAAATGGTTTGCTCCAAGTGCTAAAGAATTCTCCAATATATGTCTGAGAAAAGACCTAGTAAAAATACAGGAACCTGCCTGAGATACAATCTCTCTCTAACTTTCAACAGAGAAATGCAAAAAAGAATCTGAAACTGTGGTAACACCACCTATGATGTAATGAACAGGAAGACCAACGAAGGCAGAAAATGAGCACGTGAAGTTTTTAGCATATATCACAGGATACACAGACCTCCCACCCAGACAGTTACCAGAGCAAGCAGATCAGTAACCAAAGACAAACAGAGCATCGCTAGTGTAGGGACATACCTTTCCGCCATTCTAGTATCCTTCAGGATATGAACATATATAAAAAGGGCTTGTTCGTGATTCCCCATCCGTCCCAACAGCAGAGCACGTTCTTCTAGGAGGCCTGGAAACAGGGTACAAAATTTGCCATTACTGTTCTTAACAGAAACATACTTTGGCAAAGTAGGCTTTCAGAATACATCACGAAAATGAATAAGGCTGGAAGGAACTAAGCAGTAGAGGCTGAGAAAAGAACAAGGGCACAGAGCCATGCTGTTTCAGGCAAAGATCCATCTAGTCCAACTTTCTGTTCACACAGTGGCCAACCAGCTGAGTATGAGAACTCACAAACAGGACATGAGTGCAACAGCACCCTACTTGCCCATGTTCCTCAATACACAAGCATAGCATCTCTGAAACTGGAAGTACCCATCAGGACTAGTAGCCATTGATAGCCACCTTCCTGAATTTGTTCAATCCCCCTTTAAATGTCAACTGGCCTAAAAATAATCATCTTTTATTACAGTTCTTGAAGAGAAGCAAAAACCTTAGTAGCATCCTATAGCAATTTCTGTCTTAGTTCCTTAACTGACATTGTTACTACTTGATGTACACAAGATACTCAACACCATGAAAGTGCTATGTTTTTATTCATTATATTTATATCCCACTTTTTTCTTTTCAAGTCAAGGTAGCTTACATAATTCTCCTCCTACTCTTAATTATATCCTCACAACAATAACCCTATGAGGTAGGTGTGGTTGATAGATTGGTCCAAAGTCACCAAGTGAACTCCATGGCTTCTGAGTTCCATTATACCACACCGGTTGTCTTTTTTTTAATGGCACAAAGGCTAAGCAAAAAAACCAAACTGATGCTTTGCTAGTGGCTTAAGTATTTATCCTGCTGAGTGAATACTTGGTAGAAGCAACTTTGGCAGCAATTACAGCTGCAAATCTTCATGGACAACTATCAGCTTTGCACATATGGATCCTACAATGTTTGTCTATTCCAACAGGCAAAATTGCTTCACCAATGATCCCTATCCAATCTGGCAGAGCTGAACAGCAACGTCAAAAACTTGCCAAAGATTCTCAATCAGACTGAAGTCTAGGCTTTAAATAGGCCACTCTAAGGCATTCAGGTTCTCTTGTAAAACCACTCTAATGTCAATTTGGTCATTGATATTTAGTATCATTGTCCGATTGGAAAATGAACCTTCACTGCAGTCCCAGATAGACAGGAAGTCTGAATTACTCTAGAATTCACCTGTATTTGGCTCCATCCATTTTCCCTTTAAAGTTAAAGTTAATGGAGCATTTGCTTTATCAATGGCTTTCTTCTAACCATTATTCCATAAAACCTTTGTGGAGTATCCCAAGTCCAATTTCAACTGTTGATCTTTCCAACTCTTTCAGTGTTACCACTAGCTTCTTGGTTAATTCCCTTACGAATACCCTCCTTATCTGGTTACTGAGCTGTGGTCAACAGTCTTCTCTGCCCAGAATAATGATTAAGCCATATTCTTTCCATTCTGTAATATTGGATTTAATGATGCTCTAAGGGATGTTTACAGTTTAGTTTTTTTAAATAATCCAACCATGACTGAGTTATAAAATATTCTGTGCCATCATAGTATTGAGAATCTACTGTAACTCAAATGATATCAACATCAATTAAATCCATGTCAGTTTCAGGTTGTAACACAACAAAATGTGAAATAGTCAAAGAAGGGATGAATACTTCTCCAAGGCACTGTATTTTATTTAAATTTTTTAAAGGAAAATTTAACAAAATCTAAGATGAGACAAAAAAGATTCTAGTGCAATAAATGTAGCTAACTTTGTTTAGCATGAAGAATGGCTGCAACTGCTTGATCATCTCTTACCATCAAAGGGAAAGTCACTGATGAGCTGTTCAGCATTATAACAACTAGAAGTCTCAAGAAAGAAAAGAAGTTTGTTCCGGTATTCTCCTAGTTCCCCTTCCTCCTTTCCAGCTGGTACTGGTGCTTTCTCTTCAAGAGAAAAATAGCATATCTTAAAACACCCCTATTATCACTCACATGCATTTGCTCTCATAGAATTCTACTTCCAGTGTACATTACAGAATGTTGAATTATTTTTCAAAGTGGAACCACTAACACCAGGTCATTACTGAACATCTCATAAAAATTTCTTTTCAATAATGTTTCTAGCAACAGAAAGAATAAGTAACCAAGATATGTTATATAAAATTAGCTACCTAAAGTCTTGCATCAATAGAATCACCCTTGTGTTTCTTGCCTTAATTTCTCACATTTTAACATGTTGAAGACCATGAGAGAAAATACCTGGAGGAAAATAGCTGAGATACTCCTTCATTAAGCCTTGCACTTTCTCACAATACAGCTGAATCAGGCAGTTGTGAAACTCTGAACCAGCCTCTTCCCATACGTGGATTATATGTTCCTATAAATATATGTACACAGTCAAGTATGGAAGCTGACTGTAAAAGGTGCTGCAAATTCCAGCATCTTTTACATACTGGTTGTTTTTAAGTGAATGGCTGTAATTCATTTGCCTTCACAAGTTTGTCAGGCAGTCTGTTATCAGAACAAAGAGCATAGCAACAGTTGGAGTTCTTACCAAGTAGGGAATAGCCAAGTTTTTAAAGTTCTCTATCAAGAAACTGAGAACTTTTTTTCGTGGAAGGGACTCCACCTCAGGAAGATCTTCTGTAAATATCTGCCAGACAAAAGTTTTGATTCACAGAATTTATCTTTGCACACTTACACTAACTGTTCTAAAGAAAGTCAAAAACACACACAGACAAACAATTGCTCTGTGAAGGAACAGCAGCAATTAATCTGTCTTCAGTCTTCTCAAGTGGAAAGCACAGTAAGTAGACAAAGAATACCAAGCCTCTTCACTTATTTTCCCCAGTTAACAAGTAGGTAATGTTGCTGTAGTATAGCTATTAAAAACAGGCATAAAATGCATAAAATTCACATATATTGTACACAGCCACAGCCCACTTGATCATCTAAAAGCAAATAAGGAAGAACTGATGCAACCTTCACTCAGATTTACCAGCTTCATTTTCCCTTTGAGTCATTAGGCTGCTTTTAGGAAAGCTGATGAACCCTCTGTAACACCTGTCAGTTTCCTTTTGTTTTCATTAATTTTCTCTAAATCTATTGTCAAGGATAAGATACAGTTTCAGCAATATATATTTTTCAAGGACTGCTGCACTATCACATCAAAATAGATAATATAAGCTGTGCAAACATACAACCTGCCAACTCCTACCTCTCTAGTATGCTATAGTATGATTATATGAAACAACTTGGCCAGTTTTAATCATTGTTTGGGAGCTGCTACACACACATCATATTAATTCAAAATATGTGTGGGCCACCTTTCTGGTCAGGAGCCCTCCCAAGGCTGCATAAAATTATATTGTGGTTTTGATTGTGGTGAAAATTGTGGTGGTGTCCCAAGAGCCTATGGCTAATCAGAACCACTGCAGAAAAGGTACTCCCTTGTATGCGCATTCATCTAACTGCCATCACATGTTGCTTGTGAGGGCCACTCTTGCTAAATGCTTGCCACATGAGAATAGTTACTAATCAAAGTAATTTGAAGTGGCCTCTTTAGACACATAACAATTAAAGCTGCCTCAGGCTACTTATTTTTCAAATACTTTTAGGAATGTCCACTAACTGAGCTATCTACCCAATATAATTTGCTTTACTCTCAGAAAGCAAATCCATTACAGAGGACAGACCATCACTGTCCCTTCATTTTATTTTTAAATGTTACTAAGTGCACTGCTTACTTTCAGTCCATCTTCAGGAAAATCTCTAAGCACCCAAACAGAATAGGAAAATATTAAATTCAAGTTCTCAGTGCCTGTAACAAGAAACAAAGAGAAGGCAATTCAAAGAATTGAATCACAAGACTATCCACAATGACAGCCCAAGGTGCACATGTCTAGACACATCCTTTTAAAGAAATACACTCTCTGAAGAATGCATCCTTTTCAAGAAATGCACTCTATACACACAGCATAGCTGGGATGTGCTGCAGAATACACCTGTGCTAAACATGCTTCATTGGTTACCATTCTTCAGACATACCTCAAAACCCTAAAGTGGTTTGGATCAAGTACATCTCAAGCAGTCTAATATAAGCCTCATCCCTTGCCTGAAGCTATTTCCCAAGAATGTCTTCTACTGCCTCTTGCTTTGGACATTAACAGTGGTGGTTTCAAGGAACAGATAATAACTGTAACACCATCACACTCTCTGAACATGCCCACCAGGCTTAGCCTCTGCTTCTGGGAGATCTCAGGACAAATAAATAAGCATTTTTTTTCAATTAAACTTCTGAGCTAAGTTCACTGCTGTCTGTTGGTTTTCATGCCACTGATGTTTGCACAGTCTAGTTTCTTATTAAACTGACTGTTGTTGACTATGATGATGATTGTATTTTGTGAGTTATTTGTTTTTGTGAATCACTGCTAAGCCCTGTTCAGGCAAGACATAGGACTTAAAAATAACAATTATGCTCAACTGCACTCACCCAAATGTTGTAAATACTGCACTGTCCTTTCATGGCCCTTCAGTGGTGAGTTAGCTTTCTTTGACTGATCCACTAGCACCTGCAAAGCTACAACAAAATAGAAGCAATCCCTATTTGAATTATCCTTTAGGTTAAAAAACTTCTTTACTAATGCTCCGTAGGGAAGAAATAGAAACATGAAAAGCAATAGAAACATGAAAAGAGGGGCACTAACAAGCCAAAGGCAGTCGTCATTATAAAAGGCCAACCCAGATGTCCATCAGAACTAGGCTTACAATACTCTGAACACACTTTAAATCATCTCTGTAATAGCCTCATGTATATGGCATGCTTCTCATATGCCTCCAAAATGGGAAAGTCTACAATCTCTCTAGGCAATTAGTTCCATTGTTGTTCTAAAAGTCATGAAATTTTTCCTTCCTTCGTAGGCTTATTCCTGTTTTCATTCTGCTACAGAGGATTTGCTTGCCTGACCCTCCTTCCTGCTGTTGAACCTCTGATATGGAAACAACATTTCCTGGGAATTAAAGTCCCCTGCAGCCTGTTCCCAAAGAGGAGGAGAAGACAGCAGTGCCAACAGAATAGCTAGCCAGGAGGAGGTGATTATAGCATTTATCTGGCACAGACACACATACATCAAATACAAAGCACATTCAACACACATTCACAACAGTGAAACACTCTTTCTGATGAACATCTATCTTGGAATTATGAAGCCATTTGATAAATCGAGGTTGCATTAAACTAAGAACTTGAATCTCAGACACCAGAAAAGCCTAGGGAGGTTGCAAACTGAAGGCTGCCTCTCAAAAGTACAGGTGTATACTGATACCACTTCAATTTGAGACAGTATCTCTAGGCATTTATATTCAAATCTTGTCACCTGCTGGGAACAAGCTAATGGATTGGTTGCTACCACCAAGTGCTAAACAGCCTTCACTGCTTATGTCACCCCGTATCAGGAACTGATAGACCATAACATGATCCACAACTTAGCCAGCAATACAAGTATAACTGACCTAAATAAAAGTATATTAAAAGAGACATAAATAAAATTTTCCCCAAACAATACAATAACTATGTTTTTTTTGAAACTGCCTCAGTGATTAGATAATACATTTGTATCTTTAAACCAGGATGGCTCTAAGCTAGACAGATTTACAATACAACTTTACATTCTGACTGCTTCCCCACATCACAAAGCACTTACCCTTTTCATGCAGACCCTTCTTCTCATACAGTATAATCAACTCGCTGTATTTATGAGCTTTCTTGAGGACATGCTCACTTTCCTCAATGTGGCAATGGTTGTTCTCCAGCCGCAGCAGCGGTGCCACTAGGGCTACATTGGTCTACCAACAGGAAACAAAGAGAATCAAACACAATTCAATATGTGAATCAGAGAAAGGAAGGTCAGTTGCAAATAGAAGTAATTCTTATAAAAGCTTTAAGTACTTATGTGTAGCACTGTTGTGAACTAGTGAAACAGTAACTAACAGATTTTTTCCTATTCCTAGCATTTTTGTGGGGAGCAGAAAGCCAAGATATTCCAAGGATACACTTCCCCTTTAAGAATGCAGCCACTCTTTTCCATGCTGAACTTTTTACCAGGAACAGCCAACCAATCCACAAGCTCTTGACTGAGATAGTAATCATCTTTCATTAAACAAACTATAATAAATTAGCTTATTGAAACAGAAACCAAGTAAACAGTTAAGCAAGATCAGTATTTACAATATACATATTATTTATGCCCCTTAAAATATTTGATACAATCTAAGGGAAGGTGGTATATATTTATACTGTTAAGAATGTTTGCAAAATATATGAACCAAAACTTTGCCCAGCAGCTGATAAAGTTGAAAAGTGATTGCTTCCACTTGTCCAGTACCACCACTGCTGTTGCTGCAGGTGTTACTTTCCCAACATTTCAGCATTACGGGCCAGAGAAGCAGCACACACGAGGGGGTGCTCAGTCCCAATGCCGTTTTCAGCCTAACACTCTCCACCTACATCTTCAGGATTAAGTTATCTGAACACCAGGGGAAACTAAATCCAAGAACAGGCTTTATGGAATATCTCACTGCCACCACTAGTCTCCCTACAGGTATAGGCAGTAAATAAAAGTTGCAAGGTATATATAATTGCTTTCATTTATAATGATAAACAGAGTTCATAGCATGTTTCCTGGCTCCTGAGTAAGACCAGTTTCCTACCAGCTTCACAACTGAAGTGACAGACATCTGTTATCAATGAATACTGACTCAACCACCTATCTTGCTCCTAAACCCCAGTCTGTCTGGGAACTTATTAAAATGCATCAACATTCATGTATGTGTACATTCACGGCCTCGTGGATCTTTTTTAAAAGTTCAAATCTTTAAAAAAAGAGAAAACATACGTTTAGAATGAATATAGGAAACATGCTTCTAGAACAACCCCATTGCTCCCAAATGATGTATCTGTCCTCACTTTTAACCTTTTATACATTTCACAAGGTCTTGAATTCAATCTAAACCCCTGTAACTGTCCTAGGTTCACAACACCAAGGTCTTACAGATCTCTGCCTCAGTTCAGGCATTTTATTTCAGAAGATCCAGAAAGCTCACATGGAGGTAGCATTTCAGCAGAGTGGTATCAATGATTTGCAGCAGCTTCTTTTTGGATTTGATGGTTGGAGTTCCCTCCACGAGAGGAGATGTGGTGGACTGATGGTCTGAGTCATTCAACATCTTTACTAAATGACTTCTTTTCTGAAGAAAATAAAGAGCAAGAGTCTAAAGGAGTAAAGCCATGGCACACCTTGCCCATATAGTTCCCAAGGAAAACAGGCATTCTTGTATTCCCAGTATGTTTCAGACCAGCTGCATCTGCTTATTACCCCACACTCTTCCATTCTCCCTTCCCTACATTCTCTATGCTTATGATCAAAATGTAGATAGGAAGTTCACTGGAGACAGGGACTTGTCTGTTCTGATTACATTGTTCTATACAGTGCCATAAAAAACAGCAAACACTCATATGATTGAGGTAACAATTGAATGAGTGAAACCGCCTTAGTATAATAGATGCTCATGTGGATGTTGCAACATACCCATGAGATTACAAGCTCACCCCTCCTGGAAGTCCCTTCAAAATATTAGGCAAACAAAAGCTGGTGAGTGCCAAGCATTCTAGGAGGTGCTGACATGTTAAAGCATTCACACAATCAGCAACTAGCAAGACAGGATGTCAGCAGAAGGTGCTGAATACTTACCAGAGTTAGGTAGTCTATTAGTGCCAGGTGTGCTTTCTCCAGCTCTGCAGCAGAGAGTACTGGCACTGGGTTGGGATACTGGAGCTGCTTCTTGTAATCACTAGGCAACAGTTCAGGATAGAGACCCATCACATGGGTGGGATCTGAACAAAATGCACAACTGTAATAAGTCACAGTATTTCTAAATTATACTGAAAAATGTATTTAGTTTTCAGTCTGAATTTACTTTGCAATTTAAGTTTTCATGTTCACAGCACTTCACCCTTATAAATACTTGAAGCATTCTGAAACCATCTGTTACAAGACTGACCCTTCAGAAACTAGCTTGAGTAACCCATACGACAGGCAACTTTGTGACAGAACTCTTTGTTGTCTCAGCACCCTTTTTGCAATTGGTTCAGTAGTTTGCCAGCTACCAAAGGGAATAAGTCCCAAGTCAGAATAGAAAACATTTTCAGAGGCCTTATGAATGCAGGAGTCCTTTGCCAGTTTTGGGGGACTGTAGTAATCTCCAATACCTCTTCACATCAGGCTAATAAGTAATTCACCTGTCCCAAGCTTGGCAAAGACGTGCATGGAGTCATCAAAGCGCTTTTGGCAGAAAAGGTTGAAGGCATAGAGATTCTTAATATGATGGATCTGTTGTCGCTTCTCACTGTCAGAGTCATCTTTCATATCCTATCAAGCAGAAAGATGAGCAAAATAGTTAAGAAATGTTATGTTTTAAACACAGACATTAGTGGCAGTGTTTAAAAAGATAGCATAACTCAAAGAGCTTGAAAGAGATTGTTTTAAGCAAGTGGCTCAGAAACAGTGAATAGGTATATCACATTAGTCAAGAAAAAAGGAAGACCCCTCAGTACCAACCCCAAGGCAGCCCTCTATTTCAGTTTATGGCACCAAAGAGCCAGAATTACCAAAGCAGCTCAAAACTGAACCACTTAGATCATAAACAGCATTCACATTCATCCCTGATATAAAGTGAGCATGACTGAGAAATCCATAAAGACAGAACCCTCAGGAGCAGGCTGGAGCAACTTGTGGTCATCCAGACAATATGGCCTACAATCCTCATGATCCCTCACCATTAGCTATGCTGGGTAGGGCTGGTAGGAGCTGCAGCCCAACAACATTTAGAGGGCACAAGTTGCTCACACTGACCTACATCACAGTCAGTTCTAATTTGAAAGCCTTCTGGGCAAGGTGCTCTCTGGGGGTCCTCATCTGCTTACAATCTTGCATCCTGCTGCCAACTGAAGGAATTTTACAAAATCAAATTATCCATAATTTTCAGCTTGGGCCATAATCATAACAGAGGTGAGCAACTTGCACCCCCCCCCCGTTTCACCTATCATTCCAATTATCACTAGCCACTATAGCCAATGACATGAGATAATGAGAACTGTATGCCAAAACATCCCCAGAGAGGTCCGCCTGGCGCCGTCGTTATTTGTTTTTCGGTGCCAGGCAAAGACCTTTTTATTCAAATGTCATTTTAATTGTCATTCTTTGGCCAGGGCGACTTAATTTATACTGTTAATTTATATTATTCTATGCAAGTTTATTTATGGATGTGAGCCGCCCCGAGGCTTCGGCGAATGGGGCGGCATAGAAGTCTCATTCATACATACGTACATACATACATCTAAATGCTACCAATTTAGATGGTAGCATTTAGCTCCCACTCCCACTCAGAAGTAATTTGTTCAGTAGTTATAGATGGTTACACAGGTTATAGTTATTGTTCACAAGACAAGGAAACACTAACATGATTGGTTCTTGTAAACAACCCTCTCTATAAACTGCTCATGTGGTGTATTTGTGATCCATACAGTGGTTGAATTCAGATGATCGCATCTCAGTTTTCAAAGCCAAGATATCAACAAGCTGTATGACCTCAAAACCAACCCCTCTGGCTCCTCCCTTTACATGCATGAACAAACCAGGAATCCTTCCATTAACTGTTTCTTGCTTTTTCATCCCAACTGCAGCTAACAGCTTTGGCTTAAGCCAAGATATTAAGCCAATTGGCTTGCTATCTTGTTTGTTCTAAAACTTTAACCATAATTTTCCAGTTCTGACCAACTATCATTAATGGAAGACTTCCTCATTTGTTCCATGCTGCCATATATATAAAAAAGCAAAGGGATTGCATGTGTAGTCAAGAAGCTTTTTCATATCTTGACTAATGAAGCTGATACATGGTTATCTAAATTTCTATCTAAATTATCTAAATATCTCTAGAACCCAGTATATAACTTCATTTAACCATAATTAAACATGGAACTCACAGCATTCATGGTTATAAATACATCTGTATACATGTGGACTTGTTCTTAACCATTAATCAATATCCATTATTAAGTTTATATACATCCAATCATTGGCATTAAAGGAATGGTCACCATGTTAGTCAGAAGACTAACAAAGAAGTGCAGATGGTACCTTTTACTGGACCCAATGTGCCTCTGCAAAAGTAGTCTGAGTTACAATTATGCAAAAAGACTTGCTGCTCTCTTCATAAGGCTCTGATCCAATAAAGGTATAATCACAGCCATATTTCAACCTGTTTTCTGCTCATCTCAAGACAAACTCTCTGTCTAACTCCAATTTACACCAGCATTTAATCTAAGCAAGTCACATTAGAAGATTATGGCTTCAAAGCATTAACCAAGGAACCAGAGAACTGACAGCTTCATCTTGAAAGCTATCAGTCATTCCTTTGTTATATCAAACGTTTAGACTAATGTAGAGATCACTCAGTTGCCTGAGGCAAGTCATGTGCTCTCAGTATAAGTTTCTCTTTTATAAAAACAGCTTGACATTGAGTTGACATAAATTCTGCATAGAACTAGGCTTCGGCGAATGGGGCGGCATAGAAATGTTTTAATAAGTAAATAAATAATAAACTATGCACAGTTGCAACATCCCAAAAATGGTTTTCAAGAATGAACGCTAAATCCAGAAGTTCTTTAACACCTAGATGTTTAATTACCAGTGCACTTAGGACTCGCAACAGCAATCAGATTTAGCTTGTGTGCAGTAGCTGACGGAACATAGGAAGCTACCTTGCACTGGGTCAGATCACTGGTCCATGTAGCCCAGATATTATTGGACCATTGGTTCATCTAGCGCTCCTATGTTTCAGGCAACATTTCTTCCTAGTTTTACCTACTGAAGTCGGGGGTTCACTTAGAAGGCCTTTGGGCTGATTTAGCAAATAGTAAGTCCAAAAATAAATTAAATAAGTTAAATTGAACCCAGGACCTTCTGCATGCAAAGCACATGTTCTTCTACTGACCCGTGGCCCTTCCCAAGTAATCAATAGAGACACAGACTGAAAATGCTTCCACCCTACTACTTACTGCCAGCTGCAAAGCCAGTTCAAATTGTTTATCTTGCAGAAGCTGCTGGATCTGGATTGCAATGGAAACCGGAATGAGACGCCAAACAAAATGATTGCTGGCCACATACACATTATTTGTACTAGAGAAAGAAATAGGGGGAGGGAGAAAGATTCATTATCAACATATCCTAATAAAATGGAAGGATTACCTTCCTCTTTGAACTAAAAACTTATTTTAAAAATTAAGAATTTGGAACAGGAATATACACACAGCACAAAAGTATGTAAAGACTGGACAACAAGTAACAACTACATACCCTCCAGAAGTGATGAAGCGTGGCCTCTGTAGCTCAATACTCTGCACCAGGAGACGGGGCTCAAAAGTACGAATCTCTACATATCTTGGCAGTACTGCCACAATGTATGGAGGCTGGTGCTCTGTTATGGACATGGAACGGACAGTAAGATATGATTTTCAACAATGTTCCCAATTCGACATTCATAAATATTGAATATTTTAAATGGTTATTTAACATTTGTCCTACAGGTTTTCTTTATACTTTTCCAACCCTTCAATTATATGCTCAAAGCACTTTACAAAAGCAGTTAACAGTATGCCCACTAGAATTACAGAGCAGTAGCAGCAAAGAAAAGAAAGAAGACATATAAATCAACAATAGAGCTGATTTAGAGTTGAGTAACAGTCCATTTTTCATACTCCCTGCTGCACAGTAAAATGACACCATTTAAAACCAATTTAATTTGCTTGATTGAGATAAGATTGGTATGAAAGGATTGTCAATGACTTAAATGGGGGATAAGTAGTCTGGAGAGTGAAAAATGATCCCTGAACCTTCCAAAGTCACCAACTCATAGCCTAAATGAAGACAAGTAACAATGATCTCTCACCCATAGCTATTGGGATATCAGTCCAGTTCAAGGCACATTTCTGTGTACAGATCCCGTCTTCATTTAACACAACAGTTAGATCATCTTGGCCTACAGCAACTTTGTCACCTGCTAAAGGGGCCACCAATGGTTCAAGCTGCTTTCCTGTAGGAAATAATTCTTTGATAGACCCTTTCCCATCCACCTGTGAATGAAATCAACACAGCCAGTCACTATACAAAAGCCACACCAGACCAGTTCTCAACATTAGGCTGGCGGGGTGTGTGTGGACTGAACAGTCTCTTCTCCCATCAAGATTGCTTCCGTAAAAATTACAGATCCAAACACAAACACAGGCTTATGGCAACTCCCAAGGATTAACTAATTTACACTTAGGTTCTCAAAGAAGACAATCCTATATATTATTTACTCAGATGTAAGTCTCATTATGCTCAATAGGATTTACTCCCATAAAAATATAGACTGAATTTCCATATGAGAGTCAATCATGCTGAAGTCACACATCCCACTCCTACCTCCGCAAAAAGCTACATTCTTTTTTCTAGCTTACTCAAAATCCTCTTCCTTACCCTTATTAGGTAATAATCCCTCTTGAAACCCACACAGATTGAATCTTTACACCATGCCATTGATTTGGGTACATCGGGCACACTGTACTCTCCCTGGAGATCAAGGGGGGAAAAAAAGCTCTGGTTGGCAACAAAGAAGTCATCAGGGATTTAATAACTATACATTCCATATACATACAAACATTGCCTGTATTGCCATTACAGAGATCTACTTCAAACAACTTTAACATAAACAGTGGCATTTGCGATCTCCCCTCTGTAAAAATAAAAGACCATTCTCTTGTCTTTTTTTACCAAAATCTTCTAATTTGGGACCAATTACAACATATTTTCTCTTCTCCATGGAGAATATTCACTAAAGAAAATTATTATGAAAAATGCTATATGGAAAACTTGAATTCTGCAGGAAAGATCCATGAGCAAAAGACTCAGCCATCTTTTCCATAGAGAAAAATACAGTACATTTGAGTAAGGGAGTGATACCTTGCATTCTCATTCAAAGAACTAGGCTTCAAGTTGTAGGATGTAGGATTCAAACTGACAATGAACACCCCTTGAAGATGTCCCTTTCTACATGTGTGCAATGTGTTAAATTTACTCCCAATGCTCAAGAAAGTGATTTGAATATTATTTCTACATGGCATGTCACTTTAAAACTAAAATGAATTCTGCAGATTAGGAGTTAGAATCAGAATGAGTAGCAACCCAGTGAAACTTTTTTCTTCTAGAGTTATTTGAGGCACCACTGAAATTTTTTCAGCAATTCAAATACATCATTGAGTTTATGTTATTCCAAGTCTAATTCCTTATCTGCAATATCCTTATATTGTTGTGAAGACTCAATGAAGTTACTAAAACCAAAAGAACTAAACAACAAAGAACATTTTCCCAATGTGGAAGGAAATGATTTATTACAGCACTACTATACCTGCAACTCATGGAACTCTCTGTCCTTCCAGTAATATAGCTGCAGCTTCTTTCGCACTGCCACACAAATCCTGAGGACCTCTTCCCCTTTCTCAGAGTGCTGTAAAAATAAATAGCTGTCTATGTATCAATGCTGGAAGCACACTACTGTGTACTCAGTGTCATAATACTACGAATGTTTGCATACATTATATTCTGAAGAAGGAATCTGTGTATTAGATTGCTTGGATAAAGATATTCTTCTAACATTCACATTGTTAGAAAATTCAGAATATTTTTGGCAAATATTTGAAGAATAGCCAACATACAGGAAAAATATCCATTCTTGCTTCAATTTCCCTATCTCCTAGCATACTCAAACTGAATCAATAAGCAACAGCACTGACCACAAACCCCCAAAGTTCAAGGAAATATATTTTTTTAAACGCTGAAACTAATGAGTGTGTCTTCCAGGCCTCATCAACTGGTAGTCAAATGATACCTTGTACACAATCAAAACAAAACAACAAACACGACAGTATCCATCCTTAAAAAAGCAGGAATGAGGAACATGTGGTCTTCCAGATGTTGTTGGATTACAACTCCCAAAATCCCTAGCCACCACAACCAGTGGTGAGAGACAGTGAAAGTTGCAGTTCAGTTGTAGTCACACATTCTCATTCCTACTATAAAGGAATTTTAAAACTTGAACCATAGGAAGAGAGAAACTTTGCAAGTTTTAGCTTCTTCTAGCACTTCTCCTGGGACAACAAACTTGCTGTGCAGAGGTCAGTTCCAAAAATAAATGAGCAAATTAGGAGTAGTGATTAGGGTCAGTGGTCTTTCCTTGACCCCAGAATGAGCTCAAATAAGTGTGTGGTGTAGTGTTAAGAGTTTGGGACTGGTACTCAGGAGATCTGGGTTCTGGTCCCCACTCATCCATGGAGCTAAATGGGTGACTTTTGGCCAGTGACAGATTCTCTGCCCAACCTACCGCACAGGGTTGTTGTTCTGAGAATAAAATTGAGAAAAGGTACAATTTATTTATCTATAAAATTTGTATGCCGTCCAATTACTAACGCCTCTGGATAGCTAACAGCATAAATAAATAGATGACCCACTCTGGCTGCAATTAATAAAATACAGTAATACAATTCAAGATTAAAACTTATTAAAATATTGATTAAATAAAAAGGTCTTAACCTGGCACCGAAAAACATATAATGACGGCGCCAGGCAGAACTCTCTGGGGAGCGCATTCCATAGACAGGGCACCACCGCAGAGAAGGCCCTCCTCCGGGTACTCTGTCTCCTAATATCTTTCACACAGGGTTCCCGGAGGAGGGCTTCTGTTGCCGATCTCAGGGGGTGGGAGGGCAAATTATGTAAGCTGTCTTGAATTCCTTGAAAGGAAAAGGGTAGGATATACATATAATAATAAACCACCAGTAAGACCAGCAGAAGACATATAGAACAGGTAAGGCTAAGATTTGTGATCGTCTTTGATGTGATTTTTCAAAAGTAATAAATAGGCCCATGAAATCAACCCAATACAACATTCTTTTCATTTTAATTCCATACTTGGTACTCATACAACTATAAAGTCAGTTGTCCTTTCAAGACTGGAGAAGACATCCATATTTCCTCCTCTTATACTCACTTGCAAATCACAGGTGAAGAGAGTTGCACCCTTTGCCTTGGAAACTGTTGTGATCTGTTGAAATGTCAGCAGGTCATGAACATGAATGTTGTTTTCTATTTGAAACAATACACAAATTACTGCTTCAGATGTATCATCAAAGCAATTAAGCTGATATTCTACCACATTTCTCATAACAATGAGATATCTTTCTAATAAGTTAAATGGAACTTAACAATGAGATATCTTTCTAATAAGTTAAATGGAACTTGGATAAAATGTTGCTACAAGTACTCTTAAGTTTAAGGGGATTTATTCTCAGGTTAGTGCATAACGGAATGCAATCTTACATCAGTCCTTGTTTTAAAACAGAATTAACTTGAAAATTATTATTCAAACTATTATTCCACTTACCTAACAAACTGACCAAGATTTTGAACTGGGGTACAACATGGATCTACAAAAAATTAATAAGTTGTAGTCAGGAAATGAAGTCCACTTACCAAAAATGTTCTTAAAATAGGAACAATTTATATGCAGACTGCCTTCGATAAAGCAGCCTTGAATTGATAGTTATGGAACGTCTGATTACCCAGACAATAAAATAAATAAATAAATAAAACCTATTTTAACCTGAATCCTCTCCAAACAAATTTTCCCTTGAATAGTATGCTTTTTTCTTACCAAAAGGCAATATTTAGCATTTACACAATTATATAACTCATACATATAACCATTTATTCCTTAGGCACAAATACTATGCACAACTAAGTATGCACAACTTAATAAGCATGCTCAGAAAGAGGATACAAAATATATATTACAGAACCTAGGGGAGAAGTGAAGTTGGCAATAATTCTCCTTCTCACCTATTATGCTGCTTAAACTGTTTTAATCTGAGACTGCACAATTGCTGCCTGACACTTCCTTAGAATAGCTTATGCAGCTCTCTCCTCCTGGGCATCTGTTATTTTATATTTTAAAACAGACATCAGATTAAAAACAAATGAAATGCTTTTACTATTTTGGCAATAATACCTGTTTTTATGAAAGTTGAGTCACTTTGAAAGTCATTTCTACTAGAATCTTAGAATAGCAGAGTTGAAAAGGAACTAAAAGGCCATCGAGTCCAATCCCCTGCTCAATGCAGGACTCCAAATTAAAACATCCCTGACAGATGTCTATAGCACAGCTATGTCAAATAATAAACAAAAAACTGCTCTCTTTTCCTCATAGGAAGTCTTCACATTTGCTATTGTCTATTTTCAGACATATTCTCTTTTACTTGGTCACTCTGAAGAATAGTTATTCTAATATTATTATTAACTAGTTCCGATAACATATTCCCATTGCAATCTGCAAATGCTGTGATGGGAGGAAAGCAAGACCAGAAGAGGAAAATACTGTTTTGGACATAATGCAAAACCATAGTTTAGTTTTATGAAAACAAGCCTAGCTTCCTTCCAGGTTCACACATTCCCCTCCACACCCTCTTTCAGTACAGACATGAGGAAGAGTTTGAAACATTCTGCTTCAGTTTTGATTAACTTCAGTTTGCCATATTATCCAAAACCAAAACCAAACAAACCAGTTTATCTTCATTATAGTTAGCACAAACAAGCCAACCTCAAATCATAGTTTATAAAGCTGGCTTATTTTCACTAACTGTAGATAAGATTAACTAAGATGGTTCAGGCAATTCAGGAAACTTCACTTAATCTAACATTGAATTGGAAATTTCTATTCTTCTCCCTCTCACTATGTTGCAGACATTGAGCATTGTGACAAAGCAGTTATTGTTCATATTCTGGCCTGCAACACAAGAGGGAGTTCTGAAATAAAACAAGGAAATGCAAACAGGAATAGAAGCCACAGAAAAAGAGCATCACGAGTACTGTTTAACATTCAGCAAGTAAGGAAAATGCAGAGATTAAGATGGTAAGCATTTGAGAACAGTTATTCACAGAAGAATGTCTCTTACCAAAATTTTAATGTTAATTTAATTTTAAGTTCTTATGTTCTAAATTTGCTGTTTACTAATACTCTGCATATCATGAGAACCACAGATCTGCAGCTCCTTTTGCTCACTCTTTTTGGACTATGTCATCAACTGTCATGTATCAGAACTCAGCATATTCCTGTCCCTTTGAGTGTACTTTGTTAAATGGATCTGGGAGCCAATCTTGGTTGAAAAGCAGGATACAAATATAATGAATTCTACCTGGAAAAAGAAAGCACAAGGCTACACCAGCCTCCATGCTGTACTGCAGTTATATATCAGCAAGCAATAGGCATGAGTTGCAATTTCCCAATTGTCTCTGAAATAACATCTGTAATTCATGGCAGCAATATACTAGGAGTAAACCCAGATAATTTCAATTGCTGCACCAACAATGAACAGTAGAAGGATAAAAATCCCCTAGAAGACAAATTCAGCAAAACAAATGCTTCCAAATTAACCCAATCACCATTTGGTGTCTGGATGCAATAGTGGGCTGAGTGAAAAACAGTAAGTTGAGGCTGAATCCTGATAAGAAAGAAGCAGGTTCCCTTGCCAGGAAATATGGAAGTTGCCTGTTCTGGATGAAGCTGCACTTGCTCTGAAGAACTCTTGTGTAGCATATTTCAGTTGCTTGGTACTTGTAACTACACAAGTGAAGCTACATGTGTGTAGCTTGGGGATGCTTCTAGATGCATCACTGACCATGAATGTTCAGGTGGCCTCAACAGCGAGGAGTACCTTTTTTCCAACTTCTGTTGATTTGGCAGCTACAGTCATTCCTGGATAAGAATAGACTGGCCATAGTGACCCATGCACTAATAACCCTGACATTAAACTATCAATAAAACATTAGACAGTGTTTTATATGGGGCCTCCCTGTGAGTCTGGCCTAGAAGCTGCACAATGTCAGAGTGAAACCACGGAATGGAACAGGCTACCTGGAGCATATCACACCAGCTTTACAGCAGGTGCACTGACCACCAACAAGCCACCAAATAACATGTAAATGTATGGACTGATATAAAAAGCTTAGGACTTGGAAACCCTATGAAGTACTTTCTCCTTTATGTACCTTCCTCAACTGAGTGGTAGGCCTTCTTAATGGTGCTACATTTGTTTTATACACATCAACCTACAAGGGTGATCTTGATACAGGTGCCCCACCTGTGGAACTCCTTTCCCCTATTTATTCACCCAGATTTTTTGTTTTGCTGTATTATGTTACCTGTTGTTTATTTGTGCTACTGTTTTCCCTTGTTTGGTGCTTTCTGGTCAATAATGTATAATTTTATTGCGTTTTATTGGTTGTACTGCACTTACACTTTATTTTATAATGAAAAGCAGACAATAAATGTCATAAATAATTAAAAGCTAGATGATCTAAGATGGATCAAAAGTTATCACTCCTACCTGTTGAATCTTCTTGGAGAAGTTCTTGTGTGATTTTTCTAGTGTCACTTCAAACCTGTTGCAACCTGCCACACAGTAAAGGGATTCCTTTATGCTACAGAGACATTTCAAACTACCTACTTCACCAATGTATTTCACCAGCTAATGCAAAATGTCCTACTGAGTCTGGTTATCAGTTTAGAGGAGCTGGAAGTCTCACAGATCCACCTAAAGATTGTAAGAAATCAAACTACTGCACACTGTAACATACCCAGTTACCCCACCAGTAAACCTTGTGATCTCATGGTCTAAAAGGATTTAAGAAAATACTATAAAAATCTACAGAAAGACAATCCCCCAGCACCCTTCATCTAGATCAAAAACTAACAAATAAAAGCTTTTTATTTAGGGAGCATTGCAAGAAGGACAAAGAATAAAATACTTCACCACAAGGGTTTAAAGGAGGTTTATGGATACAAACTTACAGCCACTTTCTGATGTCGTAACCTCTCCTGATGTTGATGCAAAAAGGGGGAGAAATTTACCAAGTGAGACAAGAGCAACTCAAAACTAGCATGATTTGACTGGCTACAGTGTTTGAGAATGAAGTTATCTCAATTTCTCCAAAGAAGCTAGTCTCATTGCAAAGCTAGAGCAATGACTCACAGAACCAGAGATAAGCTTCTCCTAAGCACTATACAGCTGTTGCTCAGACAAGGCAAATGCAGCATGCTTCCAGTACTCTCACAGAGTTTCCCAATTCATTAATACCATCCTTAAACACATAACTATATATAACTGCATTTGCTTGCATTCTTTGCATACCTTCACATCTCCTTCTTCCCAATGGTTTGTCATTCTTTGCCTTATATCTCTCCATCATTTCTTAACACTGAAGATTGGAATGGGTGATCTGTGGTCATCCAGATGTCAGACTACAACTCCCGTAATTCTTGACCACAGGCCATGTTGGCCAGGGACAATGGGAACTGGAAATCAATAACGTCTGGAGGACCACAATTGCCCACCTTTGATGTGGGATGCAATCCTTTGCATGTTTAGACAGAAAAAAAATCATACAACTCTTACATCCAACCCCAGCCAGTTATAAGACTTTTTTGTTTAAACATGGATCTGATTGCATCCTTGAAGTGTAAATTTAGACTCTTTGTGTGGGGACCTACACAAGTAAACTATAATGTAGTATTTTTCAGTATATGGCAACCTGTAATTTTAATATGTGAGGATATCCTCCCAAGACCAAGTTATTTGAAAACTAAAAGGCATCCTGAAGAAATTGTTTCATTCTTTTTCTTGTTAACTTTTGCCACTCAATAGCAGTAAACTGTGTTTATAAGTTGGGTTCCTGCACACACAAGTAGGCCTCTTTCTGATACTGATGTTCCTTTACATTCATATCCAGATGGAAAATACAGTAAAGCTTCTTAAACCAACCAGAATGGGAAAAAGGTTCAAAGAATAGAAATGCAGAACTGGCACAGGATGGTTGAAGCACAAACCATTAGTAGTGGATACCAAACTGCAATGAAGAGCCACCCTGCACTTGTTCTGTAATTGACAATGTGATCTGTTAGTAATGTTTGTTCTTTGGGACACTCACAGCAAAACTGTATAACAGGGTAAGTGTACAACTGGAAACTGCATGACTGTTTTTCATTCAGTAAACTGTGCTTGGGCAGGTCAATCCCAATCAGAACCCTGGTAGAAGAGGAGGAATTGATCCCTGCCTCTTCAAACTCTGGTTCTCATCCAGATCCTCATTCTACAGTTCATACTTAGGGAAAAAAATCAAACAGCCATCAGCTGCAAGATCATCTTTGCATCTAATTTGACCCTCAGTGCAATTTGATTGCACAGATCTAAGCATGTTTTGTTGCCAAGCAACTTCTGACCTACTTTTGCTGCTAAACTTGAGCACCCAGAATTTGGTTTTTAGGGATTTGGGACTGTTTAAGATTCATTAGAAAGCTATTTTTGAGAAAGGCAGAAATGCTACAGTGATTTTATGCCATTTAGGCACAGTCCTATACACTTTTAGCCTGAAAAAAAAATCTCCTACAACTCCCACCATTCCCCAAACAGCATGGATAACTGGAGAATGCTAGGAGTTGTAGGACCATTCTATCTAAATAGGCATAGGATTGTGCCCTTAGAGACAGTAAATATAATCCTTCAACACTTAAGCTGTATGCACAGTATGGAATTTGAGCAGGTCTCAAGCTCTTGCACACACTCTTCTACTATATATTAACATTTGCATGCAGAAAACTGTACAAACCAGATCCAAAATACAGCTAAGCAAATTTGCTCTGCTGTTCTCAGCTTGTCAAGTCACTCAAGAGCTGGATCATAGCAATGTTATATACCGGATCTTAGATAAACCTTTACAAACTCACCAGCTTCCTTCTGAATTCTGTAAAGAAGAAGGTGCCCTTGTTTAGTTCCAACGAGGAGCCATTCCTCTGTTAAAAAAGCAAACCTTTTATCAGATCCAACAATATTCTTCCATAATTTATGGGACTCTTACTACATATCACAGTGGAACATTCTAAATATAGGACATCACATGGCCACCAACACAATCCTGAATACAGAACATCAGTCCTTTGTTAATCATATCTACTCAGAAATTAGTCCCAGGGATTTCACTGGGGTTTGATTAAAAATGCAAGTGATACTGGATAGTTTCTATGAAAATGCATCCATTTTTAAAAATACATTAGTAACATAACAAATCCATATACTAAAATTAGCATACCAACACTTCTTAAAACCATTGTGCTTCTGAAAGTAGAAACAATATAGGATATATACAATTGGGTTAAAGTAATTAAGTACATAAGAACAGAAGAAGAGTCATACTGGATCAGACCAAGGGTCCCTCTAGTCAACCAGCTATTCATGGGAAACCCACAAGCAGAACATGAATGTAACGGCACACTTTGCCCAGGTTCTGCAGCAAGTAACCATACTCACTGACTCTGGTGGTGACATATAACTAGAAGCTGCTGATAGCCCTATCCTTCATGGATTTGTGGGTTCCTCTTTTAAAGCCAAATTGGCTTTACATTTCACAGTAAATATGACATTTCCGAATAATATATAACAATTAAAACAAATGTTAAATGGCTGCAACCCCATACACACTCACCTGGGAGTAAGCACCATTGGCTTTTGACATTCCATCTTGTCCCTCTGCAATTTAAAATTAACATGAAACTGCTGGGAGGGGTCAACCAGAGTTTTGCAGTTGGTGGCACCAGACTGTTAATGATACCCAACTCTATCCCTACTTTTTTATCTAATCTAAGGAAACTTTTCTAGTTCTAAATCAGTGTGCGATGTCAATAATGGACTGAATGAAGGGAAACACACTGAAGTGTTATAAAGACAAAACAGAAGAATTCGCGGTCTATCAAAAATGCAGATCAGCAAATAGGAATTAAGTCTATATGGGATGGAATTACAACCCCACCCTCCGAAGACACAGATTCACAGTCTGGATGTATTTCTGGATTCTGCCTGATCTTTGATACCGAGGTTCAGTGGAATTTGCATGCATACCTGTAGCTAATACACCAATTGTGCCTATTCCTTCAGATGTCATCTTTGACCATGGAGACAGATTGCATTTATTTTATTTCTATTCAGACCAATAGCCAAAGCTCCAGGGGTAGCTTACCAAAAATATCTATATTGCCCTTCTATCAGTCTAACAGCCACATTACACACAAGATGCACCTCCCAAACCATCTTCCAAGGCAGCTGCAAGTAGAGTACATTGCAGTAATCTAACTTGGAAGTTACCAAACATCCACTGCTAAAGTCAAGTTACCCCAGTCTAGATACAACTACAGTTAGTCCCACCACTCCATGCCACAGAGGCAATCTGGAGCTCTAGTGAGACTCAGCTCCGGAGCAACCCCCAATATATGAACCTACTCCTTCTGGGGGAATACAATCCTATCCAGAATAGGATGAACATCCTCCATCTATACCAGGCATGTCCAAAGTCTGGCACGGGGGCCAATCGCGGCCCGTTTTCAAATTTCGGACAGCCTGCAGCCTCTTCTCCCCGCGGGCTCAGCCTCTCACTCATCCCCGCCAGCCGACGTTTTTCCCTTCACTGCACAGCGGTTCCCACAGCTGTCCCCTGCTGCCTCCTGCTCAAGGCTGGTGGTTATATTTCACCAGAAGATGGCAGTAGACCTGAGTCAGCACTCTCACCGCGTGACCCTTGTGACACGAGGCTTGTGTGCCCATTTCTAAAATGGCGACTGTAACGAAAAAAAGGAAAGTTGACAGCGAGGGCCGCCACTTCCAGGACAAGTGGAAATTGGAGCATTTTTTCACTGAAATACGAAACAACTGTGTCTGCCTAATTTGCCAAGAGACTGTGGCTGTTTTCAAAGAATTCAATATCAAGAGGCACTACCAGACGAAACATGCTAACTACAACAAGCTAACTGGGAAAGAACGTGGCGAAAAATTGAAGGTACTGGAAGCTGCTTTAATGGCACAGCAGCGCTTTTTCACAAGAGCCCGTGAGTCAAATGAAAATTCCACAAAGGCGAGCTACGAGGTGGCAACGCTGATTGCCAAGCACTGCAAACCTTTTACTGAGGGTGAATTTATTAAAGACTGTGTGATGAAAATGG